TTTGATATACTATTAATGTATCAATACTATATATTATAATAGAATCACACAATGATACCTTATAAAAAATTAATTTGAAATGTATTTTAAAATTAAATTTATTTGCTTTTTAAAAATTTAAATTTTCAAAATTAATTTTAATTAAATATCATTATATTTATATGATTCATTAACTATTATAAATTTTACTGTGCATCGAATATAATGTATCAAATATAATGTTACAAATAAGTGTATATAGTACTTCCTACTCTAAAATCTCTATCCTGAAGGTGTGTAGAAATTTCATACGCACGTTTCAAATGCACTCTCCATCATCCAATTCCAAAAGAGCAAGAAATTTTGGATATAAATAGCTAGCCTATGAGGTTGTGGTAAGCAATCACAAGAGTGAAACAAAGCAAGAGAGCAAACTAATAGTTACTTGGTAGAGATCATCAATTCAAATTCAAATTAAAGAAAGAGAGCTACCGAAAATGACCTTGATATTGCCAAGATTTATCGTCCTCAAATCCAATGACAAGAACGATTATCTGGGCTACATCCATGAAGATGGGGAGTCTGATGGGTATCTCAGCTTCAAGGAAACTCAAGCTGTGAGTCCCATACGCAAAATTTGAAGTGGAGATTGTTGGCAAAGATGGCTTGGTGCACATAAGCAGATGTCAGAACAACAAATACTGGGTACGAACCAAAAATCTTTCCATCAGAGGAAATCCATTGGAGCAGTACTTCTGGATTACTGCAACCGCCAACAAGGAGGAGGAAGACCAATCCGAGGAGTCATGCACATTGTTCAAGTTTATCTGTGTAGACCCTGTAAAAACTACGGTTCGAATCAAGCATGTCCAATCAGGATGCTATTTATGCTTATGGCAGATTAGTAATCCAGCATTTCCTCGCTGCGTGATGGCCAACTACACATTATATGATAGTAATTGTTGTGATATCTTCACAATCATTGATTGGGAGCCTTTGTTGATTCTGCCTAGGTACGTGGCATTCAAAGGAGATAATGATAGTTATTTATGTCTTCGTCAGATCGAGGGTCACCCATATACGCAGTTTGCAACTGATGATATTGGTGATTCAACTGTGGCATGTGAGATTTTCGTTACTGACGACAGAAACGTCCGCATCAATCCTACTTCTTCCAATAAATTTTGGAGGGCAACCCGACTTGGATTTGGTCGGATTCCGATGACACTAGCAGCAACACCAAGGACACCTTGTTTCGCCCCGTCAAATTTGACAATAAAACAATAGGTCTTCTCAACTTGGGCAATTATAATTTCTGCAAACGCCTCACACTCGAATGAAAGACGAACTGCCTAAATGCAGCCGTCCCTTCTGTTACTAAAGAGGCCCAGCTAACAGTGGAAGAGCCTGTCTTGACGAGGAACATTTATAATGTCAAATATGATCTCGATAATTCCAGGATCTACGATGAAACAGATCTTCCTGTGGCCAAGAATTACAGTAACTATACCCAGGAATCCACCACTTTAGACGTGAAGCTTTCCTATATAGATACCAGGACTAGTACTTGGAAGACTATGTTTTCACTAAAGTTAGGCGTGACATCCACCTTCGACGTTGGCCTTCCACTCATTTTTGAGGGAAATATTGAATTATCTGGTGAAATTCAATCAGGTGTCGAGTGGGGAGAGACCAAGACGTCAACCACTGTTTTGGAAGTTGTACACAAAGTTGTTGTGCCTCCAATGACTAAGGTGACGGTACATCTTATTGCAACAAATGTTAAGTGTGATGTTCCCTTCACATACATGCAAAGGGACACTCTTTATAACGGGACTACTGTCACAAATGAGTTGCCAGGTACAATATCGACTTTCAAACCAAAGAAGAGAAGATCCCAAATTTAAGAATAAATAAATGCATCTGTGGTATGATTTTATATGATTTAGAGATTGCCTTGTATTTGTCTTATGGTAAAAAAAAAAGATTAAAATTGTAAATTTAGCAAATTAAATATGAAATAGATTAAAATCTAGTAAAGAAACGAAGTAAAATAATTTGTGCTTAGGTTCGTGGCATTCAAAGCAAATAATGATAACTATCTGTGTCTTCGTCAGATCGAGGGTCACCCATATTTGCAGTTTGCAACTGATGATATAGGCGATTCAACTGTGGCATGCGAGATTTTCGTTGTTGACGACGGAAATGTCCGCATCAAGTCCATTTCTTCCAATAAATTTTGGAAGCGCAACCCGAATTGGATTTGGGCCGAGTCTGATGACACGAGCAGCAACAACAAGGCTACCTCGCTTCGCCCCGTCAAAGTTGACAATAAGACAATAGGTCTTCTCAACTTGGGCAACAAAAATTTCTGCAAACCTTCACACTCGAAGGAAAGACGAACTGCCTTAATGCAGCCGTCTCCAATATTACTGAACAGGCCCAGCTAACGGTGGAAGAGTCTGTCTTGACGAGGAAAATTTATAATGTCAAATATGATCTTGATAATTACTACCAAAGTATCCTCTCCGTGGCCAAGAATTCTGCTGGTAACTATACCCAGAAATCCACCACTTAAGATGTGAAGCTTTCGCATACAGATACCACATTTAGAACTTGGAGGAATAGGTTTTCACTAAAGTTAGGTAGGAAAACCACCTTGGACGTTGGAATTCCCTCATTTCTAATGGAGAGAGAGAATTATCAAACAGGTGTGGAGTGGGGAGAGACCAAGAGCTCGACAACTGTTCTGGAAGTTATACACAAAGTAGTTGTGCCTCCAATGACTAAGGTGACAGTGGATGTAATTGCAACAAATGGTAAGTGTGATGTTCCCTTCACATACACACAAAGGGACACTCTTTATAACGGAACTACTGTCACAACTGAAGTGCAAGGTGACACTTACACTGGTTCTAATAACTACAACATCCACTTTCAAACCAGATCAGAGAGTATCACAAATTGAGAAAACACTCAAAACTCAACTGGTGCAAAAGCAAGGACTTACAAGGATTGTGTGCATCCACTAAATAAAATAATGTTTCCTTCATGGAAGCAATGTCCGTTTTCTTGTTATTAATCTATAATCAATATGTATACTGCATGCATAGCCCTGTGGCATTTCATGTCCTTTAATTTGAGAATAAATAAATTCCTGTTTGATGTAAATTTATGTGTTTGGAGATCATCTTGTATTTGTCTCTGTGGTAAAGAATAAAAGAATTGATTAAAACAAAAAGAAGATTAAAATTTGAAGATTTAGCACATTAAATATAAAATAGATTAAAATGTGGTAAAGAAAATGAAGTAAAAAAATTTAGAAAATCCATTAGAAGTGAAATTGATATTAACAATTATTGTACTCGAGGCTCAAACAAAATTGATTGGTATTATCTTGTCAAAACAAGCTGAGTTTGGTTGAGATCATGCTCGCATGCAGGCGATAAATCCTTTTCTTGGAAGCAAATGTCGAATCGCTGGTTGTGGTAAAGAAAATGCTGACTTGTTTGGAGTTAGCCAACCATTGAAAGGAGGCCGAATAGACTGTTGGATTGGGCCAACCATCGAAAAATAAACCGACCCACTAGCTTTATTAAATTTGCCATTGAAGACAACATTGGAGACAACCTACAATTCAAAAGTTTTGGGTAAAAAAAAATCAATTTCATTAAATTTAGGACAAGGATTTTCATTAATCATGCCAAATTTTAAGAAAAAATAATATCAAAGCATGAGTAAAATAATCATGCATCAAAATACTGAATCAAATGCTCAAATGTTTTTTATTTTTTTTTAATCACAAGCTTACATGATAGAAAATAATCTTATTTGGTTCTTTCATCCAACCATCTGACCTTAAAGCTCATTGCAAGCAACTTAAGCCTCCATTTCCTATCTCATATGGGGTTTTCATTTTTCTCTATCCCTTCAATAGGAAAGCAAATTATCACAACAATGATTGAAGTAGAATAGATCTAGTAATAAATTTCATGTTAGATCAGACAACCATTATTATCAATATTTTTTTTATTTATATTCATTTCACTTGCCTGAACAAAAGGAATCTTTGAAAAATGGAGAGGACAAAACCAAATTTCTCAAATCCCAGTTTCATGTTGGGGGAGATCTTAAAGAAAGAGGCTTTTCCATCCTCCATTTCAGTTAATTAAAGCCAATAATTTCAAAGATATTTAGTTAGTTAACCATTTTTTTTCAATTAAGAAGCCTGCCTAAGAATAAATTTATATATGCTTTGTCTTGAGCTGCTTCAAAGTCATTAGAAACCAAAATGCCAGTCAAATTTGGTTATAGAACAGGGTTCATTCACCTTATTGCAAAGACATATTTCCCACACCTCCATGTTTTGACTATCAATAGGAATGCTTTTTTTATGTTCCATTTTCTTTTTGGTTTAATGTCACTGAATTCCATGCTAAATATAATGACATTATTTTATATCTATGTACATAATTTTTTCTTGTACAAAAAAAAAAAGTGTGGTGAAGCTATCTCACTTCAAGATCAAAATATATCATAGGCTTAAATTCTACAATGAATTACATTAAATTTACAAATCATTCAAAAAATATATATATAATTGGTAACGAAATCAAATTTAAATCGTACAAGCGAAGAATTATCAATTCAATCAAAACCATTAACCTATTTACATAATTTTGATGAATCATATATATCATTTTTCAATAATTGTGTATAACTTGAGTGTTAGAAGAAAAGGAATTTTGTAGTAAATGTAATGTGTTTATATTGAAAATTCAGATTTTCAATAATTTTATATTAAATATAATAATTGACAACTTTATTCATGATTTTCAATATATTCAATGAAAATATTATTTTTATAAAAAAAAAAAGTAATAATTGATTCTTAAATGTTTCCTTTTCACATGGCCTTGCTCCGCCTTATCACTTTGTTCATGGCTCTTGTTTATTTGTCTCCTCAACCAATTACAAAAACATTATAAAATTTATGAAAATAATAATAATAAAAAGTATACATAATTCAGAGAATCTTTTCATACATTACATTGAAAAAAATACATGCAATAATATTACAAAATGGAGTGAAAAAAAAAAAAACACTCATGACAACTAAAAACATTAATATTTTTAAGAAATTATTAAACAAGCCATTGACAATAAAACAGGGTTACACAGAAGAAAAGCAAAGTCTTATTGATTTCCTATTATTTGATTTCTTGTCCATTAATAAATCTCCCAATATATTCCTCATAATTTTTTTTTTTCTTCATGCTGATGAACACATTCAAACTCCCTACTCAATCCCTATATTCGAGCCGGTTTGCCGCTCTGTTTTTTATCTTTGTAACGCTTGATTTCAACTGAGATTGTTGTTTGTGAAACTGCTTCAACTTCTGTTCTTGCACTTCTCTACTGCTCTTGGAGCTGCAAATTCCATGAAAATCAAATCAATAATTAAGATTGAACAGTCATGATTATATAGAATTAATAGTTACTAACCAAGTCCAATTGCCTCAGATCCTTTCATGATTCTCAGTCGTTTGCATGAATCAACGAACATCCTATAAATTTAGCAAAAAAAATATAAATTAGTAAGATTTAATCATAAAATAAATATGCCAATTAATTAGAAAATGTAAAATTGAAGTTAAAAACTTACTCCCATGGGACATCACCAACAAGCATCCAATCTCCATCTTTGTCTTCATAAGTTGGAACATACTCAGAACCATTCAAGAGGTCTATCAATTTGCTTTCATTCATGAAATCTTTCATTCCTTGTGACCCACAGTTACCTAAAACATTAATCCCCCCAAAAATTTAATTCACATCTTCACATTAATTTGCCTAAAATTAACAAAATTGTATTTTGGGCTTATTAATTACCAATAGTAAAGGAGCTGAACATTTTGCCCAAGGAATCAGAGAGTTCTTGGTAACTTTTGTATAATTTCAAGTCCACCTTGCGTAGATAGGGTGCACCATCCATGCTGACCTTAACAAACGCTGCTGCAGTGGTGGTGTTGGTGGCAGTACTGCCGCCAGCCTTCTCGCCGGCCTCCTCCTCGGAGCTGTTCTTCTGGACGGCCATGATGTTCTTCCGGAAGGATCTGACTGGTGGCCATCCCACCACTTGTGCCCTGAAATCAAATGTGCCCTCAAATTTAAGTTACTAGATCATTTTAAATTTACCATAACATTAATCATATTGGTCATAGGAATGAAATAACATAAAATTATTGAAATTCCATTCTGATTTTCCTTTATTTTTTGGATTTTATTGTAAAAAATATTATTATCAACTTTTGAGAAGGTGAATGTGGTAATACTTTTGACATTTACCAAAGTTTGGTAGCTTAGCTGTGGACTATCTTAGGCACTTTCCTGTTAAAAACTTTGAATTATTGTTTGGTTGTTGGGAAAAGTAGTAGAGATTCCACATGTTTTGTTCTTTTCCCTCTTTTTCCCGACAAACAACCAAAGCCATCAAATATCAAAATTAAACTGTTTTTTCACTTTACAAGGCCAAGATTCAATGGACACTCATCTTCTTCAATTCCAAATTAATATTCAACAATTGAAAGAAAAAAAAAAACCCCTAAAAACAAGAAATTAATTTCACTGAAAAATAAATTAACTGATGCATATGCAAATGCATGCTCACTTCTTGATTTCATTATTAATCAAATGAACTTTCATTCTAAAGGAAATGAAATGAAAAAAAAAAAAAAAACAAAAAGACGGAAAAAAAAACAAATATTGAGAAACAAGATAACCAAGAAAAGATATGGGTAGCTTACTTTGCAGGGGGCTTTGCAGGGTCAGTAGATAGAGGAGCAACAGAGCTCTTCTCCTTCATCTTCTCAGTTTCGTTCGCCATCGCCTCCTTTGTTGTTGAAAGGTTAAGCTTCAAATCAACAGTCTCCAAAAACCCTCTTTTTCCATTATTTTTGGTCGTTTCGCCATCATTTCCATTGCCTCCGGGCAACCCCAAACGTAACTCCGTCTCTTCGAAATTAATCATGCTATACTTGTCACGCTCTGCGTCCATAATGCTAGTCATTATGGTAATTGCTGCACCAGATTTACGTGAAAAACTCGAAAACGATTCAACTTTAACCCTTTTCTTTCTCCCAAAATATCTCTCTTAATTTTTCTTTATTTTCTTTTTTTTTTTTTCTGTGTTTTTCTTGATAGTGTACTTGCTAGAGGAAGTGCATGCAAAGTGGGAGGGGAATGTGTGAAAAATGTAGTGAAGAAGGCAAAAAGAGGGTTTTGTGGAAAGATAATATATGGTTTTGGAATATTATGTTAGGGGATTTTCGATGGCAAGGATGATGCCACGTTGAACGTAATGTTAGTTGGACCGTCCACGATGTGTTTGGGGAAGATGATGTCATGGATGATGTCATATTTAGAATGATTGTGGTGAGGTGAGTGCACATTGAATGTTGGCATCGTTTGCCTTCCGTTTGTTGCCTAGGCTCCACCGAATAATGATGCCATATGCATAAAAAAAAAAAAGGAAATTTGGTTTTATATTTTTAATTAATTTCATTTCCTTTATCAATTCCTAGCTTAATTACTCTTAAAAGCATGTTTGATAATGGATAAATTAATTCATTTTAAAAAATAAATATTTTTTAATTCAAAATTTAATTAATTTATATAATTATTTTCAAAAAATATTATTTAATATGTTTAAAGTTTAAATCTCAACATTTATCAATTTTATTTATTATTGTTTTTACAAAAAATATTTTTTATTAAAAAATATTTTTTATTATTATTACTAAATTTTTAGTACATAAAAAGTGATAACATGAGAACAAAATTACATATACTAAAATTTTAGATTTTAAATTTATTAAATACTAATTTTTAAAAATAACTACATAATGAAGCTTTGAATTAACTATTATTACTAAGTCACAATAACCATATAACACATGCATGTTATAATTTTTTTTTTTTTGTTGAAAATATAATGGAAGTAGTGCTACTTCAAGATTACCCATTTGGAATCTTTTCATCCTTTCCATACTTATCCACACTCTCTCCACTTTGTGTGGTAACCATCAAATGCTCACCATTCATGGCCTATTTGGTGCCACCATATATTGACACAAAAATGGTAAAAAATAATAATAATAATTATTGAAAATTTTTTTAATTTTCACCTCCTTTAGAGACAAGTCTTAACTAGGCTAATTGTTGTAGATAACTCACCCTTACATAAATAGTTTTGATCTATATATCTTTATAATTTATTGATTACCTTTCAATTATATTTTTTATAAAAAAATATAAATATAACTATGTTTTGTCATGATTATGTAGTAGATTTTTTTTTTGTATTTAAATATTTTAAAAATTAAATCTAATAACTAAAATTAAAAATTTAAGACCGTATTAATAAATCACACAATTCAACAATAATTTATGCGTAAAAAAGTTAAAATTTGTCGTGTGCAGCTCAACCTAGACTAATCACTTATAAATGCATGATTATCAAAAGAGTTATAAAATTGATATACAATTTGAACATAAAACTAAATCAAAATTCATTTTAGGCATGATTAATTATTTGCTTAGGACTTTCTTAAAAACAGAAAAATCAATTGTTAATCACGTAAATACCTTAATGGAAGGATTTTGAAGAAGCAAGTGGAATCATTTTAGCCCAATATTTGACTTTTTAATGCTGCGAACTTTCAAGGAATCAACTAAAGGCAGGTGGACAGTGGGGGGCCCAGAAAACATTGTACCGCGTTTGGGAAAAGTCAGCAAATCAAAACCATGCACCGTGTGATGTGTTTCAGAATTTGAGATTCGTTAATTTTATTGGGTGCGAGGGTAGCCCATTGGGACCCATTCCCCCCAACTTGGTTTTGTTGCTGTTAAGAGTTTGGACATCTTTGCATTTCTTCACCTTATCTGCTTTGCTTCACCCAAATATGAAAATCATACAATATATGCTGAGTTTATATGTGATGCCTTGCATTTTGATATATCATAGATTATCATGTAAATATTTAAAATTTTTAAAATAAATATTTTATAATTTAAATATTTAATTATGTTAAAATAAAATAGTAATTTGACCACTTATGCTATATTAATGATGTATAGTATATATATATATATATTGGTAATGTATCAATAATAAATTCATATATATATATATATATACACTATTATTAATGTAATATATACATAAAATTTAGAATTTAATTTAATTGATTTATATAATCATTTTTAATTTTTAACATCCAACAAATTTAAAATTTAAATTTCAATAATTGCAACAATCATTTTTCATGTCTCTAAATTGTGATCTCTTTTATAAAAAGATAATATATATGTTTATATATATATGACATTCATTTCTTAGGAAAATTCCCAATTAGAGTATCAATTTTTTTTTTTTTTTACAGCATGAGGTGTTTACCTAGCTATATCTTTCAAGCAACTAAAATGTTTTTCAATATATGTGATTTTATATTACATAGTGAAAGGTAATTCTTTTTTAGTAATAAATTTTATCGTGTTTATTTTAGGATTTACATTTGAAAAAAATACAAATTAAAATCTTAAATTTCATCTTCATCAATGGCATAGCCAAAAGTTTTTTTCTTAGTGGGATACATTAGTTATAATATATGTCTTATTTTTATTTATTTTTATTATCCAATGGCAAATACTCTAGTTGGCCAAAAAATCATAGCAAATACTCTTATTAATTTTTTATTAATTTTTATTTATTTATATATACGCGTTACTTTTTTATTTAAAAATCATGAAACATCAAATTTACAAAAATAAAATTTTTAATATAAAATACATTAAACTTATTTTTTTTAATTTCTAAAATAATTAAAATGTGACATATAAAAATGGACTAAACGAGTATTATCTTTCACAATACACAAATATATGAATGCAAAATTTAAATACATAATTTTTACATAACAACAATATTATTACAAAAAAAAAGATAAATTAATAACAAAAAATTCTATACAACATAAAGATATTCTTTCACAATTATAACAACAAGTTTTTATAATTTAAATTTATTAAATAATTGCTTTATTATCAATATTATTAAATGTATTTTATAATATATGTAATTAAACAATAATTTTTTAAATTATATCTCATTCGAATATGTAACATTTCTTTGTTATATTCATTTCAAAAATATTTTTTATACTTACAACCACAATTGGATTTTTAATAGATAAATAATATCCTTTTTTTTAATTAAATTTTTGTTAATTTTTTAAAGGATAAAAGATAAATATGTGGTTTTAACTTCTACTAACTATAAATTAATTCTCAAACCTTTTATATAATATATTGACCCCTCAAATTCATTTTTAGTGGGGTCAATTTGTAAATTACCCAATATTATACAAGGGATGTTAAATTTCAATGAGATCAAATGAACCCATCAGTTTGGCTTTGGCTACGCCCCTAATCTTCAAATGGCTCATTGGGAATATAATTAAAAACATTTATAATGTAAAGCTATATATATATATATGTTGTAATTCAATTCACTTATGCATGCATCTTAATCATTTTATTGTTTATTATCAATAAAAATTAAAGAAAAAAGTACTACAAACAAAGAGGAGAGAAACAAGTAAGAATAAGTTATAAATAATTAAACTATATTACTTGCATTAGAAAAAAAAAACTTAATTTGCATCAAGAGATAAGTAATCATTGAACTCGAAATTAATTAGTTTTATTAATTTATATAATCATTTTTAAAAAATGCTATATAATAGATTTAAATTTTAAATTTTAATATTTATAATATTTTTTATTCTCAAACTATAATTTATTTTATAAAAAAATAGTTACCAACTTTTAATTGAAGAATAAGCTTCTCCTTTCTTTTTTTTTTTATTTCTTTTTCCTCTTTACCCTTTACTTGCCCTTTGAAATTTGTAGCACTTGGACCACCCTTTGGATGTTAATTAAATTATCTTTTAGCTTAAAATTTAAAGTACTAAACATTTGCCTTTGGACCGTCAAACCATTTATTTGACTGTAATGTCCTTTTCTTACATTAAATATTCCATGTGAAAATTGCACTTTTGACTTTTAATTTGATCTTTGACTTCACCAGTGCAAAACCCTCTGTATAATGTGACAGTAACGGCTAAATTAAGTCATTAAAAGGGCCTATCATAGAGGCACTTTTAGTTTACAAGGGTTGAATTATGTCTTGAAAAACCAATTCAGACTCATTAGTGTTAAATTATCAACTAATCCCTACCCCCACGATATTAATTAAATTAAGGATTCTTGGTACATATTTTTTCTGTTACATTGAATACTTTTATTGATATTAATTTCAAATACATGACTCTAGTAGATTATGACCCCTTTCTTAATTTGTTTAATCTTGAAAACTAAATGATTCATTTATCAAAAAAATTAATTAACGGGTAATTATTTTTTATGGTATTTTTTAGTATCTTAATTGAAAAAAAATTGATGAAAGGTTAAAGATAAAGTGATCCAAACCTACAATCAAATAACATAATCAAGGGGTTCCGAAGTTGGTCTCTGATACGTATTTTAATACTCAAGTCAATGAGATGTTTCGAGTTTTTGAAAGAACGAAGAGATGAAGTATGTATAAAAAGCTTCAATGGAGGAGATGCTTAAATATTAAATTCCTAGGTATCTAGTCTTCCTTCTTACTTTATACATGAGATTAAGGTGATGACTTAATTAAGACAGTTAATAATTTATGATAAATTTATATAAAATTCAAGAAAAATTCATATAATTAATTGTAAATTATATTTAATAATTTTAAGTAAATATAAATTGTATTTAATAATTTAAGATAACCTAAAAACTAAGTGTTCGGTTTCGAAATGGAGCGTCAGTCCTTGAAGAGAGAATTCTCTGTTATAGCTGCTTTTTTCATCATGTTAGCCGGAGGAATGCAAATTGTTTTGCATACAACTTAGTTGGAGGTGATGTTATGGCCAAGATGTACATGGCATGGCTAACATGAAGCAAGATCCGAATTTCATTACCCCACAAAAGCTGACAACAGAGAACGCAAGGACGATAAGGACCAGGCTTGAGCTCCAAAACAAAAAAATAAAAAATAAGAAAAGAGAGATTTATAGAAATAAATAAAGGAGGCCCATTGCCAGCCAATCTACACTCAGAAATGTCCCCTCGTGTGGGCTATCTGGCCCACATAGCCCACTGTCACCATCCTCTGTACCCCACACGTGTGCATTCCTATCTAGTTTGGAAACCACACCCCTAAACACTGTCAACATCTCTCGGACAACACACGTTTGGCCATTTGATTTAATTTTTTTTCGTCTTCGTTTCAGTCGATTGTACAATTCCATAGATTCTTATCTTTCCAATGGGTACCAAAATTTTTCCTTTGTTTTCCGTACTGCTCTCTTTGGGAGGAAGCAAAGCTAATGAGATGACCCCAAAGCTATTGGTTCCTTTAAACCTAAAAAAGAAAAAAAAAAAAAATTATTTTATTCCATCTTTCGATTGTGCGACTACGTTTAGATAGCGATATGCCCTGTTTTGAAATGAAATAGTTTTTTTCACCTAATTTTTTTTTATAATTAGACCGTCAAATAATTTGACATTTTTCAAAGAAATTGTTGTTTTGACAATAAGGTTTATGAGGTGAAGTGCTAACAATTTTTCTACAAAGGCATTCTATTGTTGGGGGAGACAATATTAAAATTTTAACCACTCCGTACATCTAAGAGTTTCATGTTTTTAAAACTTTTTTTTTCAAGAGAAAAGTGGATAGAGACTTGACTTTAGAATTTAAATATACGACGGGACCACGGGGTAAAGGGAAAATATCAATGAGTTATTCCTAAAAAAAAAACATTTATATCAAATATTTAAAATTTAAATGTAGGAGAATGCTTGGCCATTGGCAAAAGCCCAAAACTTATAATTCTGTTTTGGAGCTTAGCTTTTACACAACTTTTTTAGATGTTTATCAGTATTTGTGGCGATCACATGCACGCTTCCATCTTAGCTTAATTTGTCCTTTTAATCAAGAATACCAACAAGAGCTTGGTCTTTTCAAAACTTTGGCTTTGTGAAAGGGGAAAGAGGATGGCGACTTCGCCTCCCAAAGCTTTGAAATCTTAGTCAGGTAAGTAATTGGAATGGGGACTTGGGGATAAGGATTGGTTTCATAACCAAACAAAATGTTCAACTATTGGACTTTTAAGTATTTCATCTTCCTATAATTCAATTATGGAGACTTTAAGAAGAATAAATTTTTAAAAATTAAAAGAGAAAACAAGCTTTCAACTCAAACTGTTGAATACCAACAAGAATTTATTCATATTTTAAATATCAATTTTTGAATTAAATTGTTTGTATTTTTTTCTGACGAAAATTAATATTACATGTATAAGTAAAAGCACATACAATTATAATAAAATAATTTTTTATTTGCATAAGCATAACATAACTCAGAATTTGAGACCTAAAAATTACGGTATTTTTTTATTATCATTGAAATAATCAAGAACTCATCGACAATTAATTTTTAAGCAATTAGTTGTATTTCTTAGAGGGTTTGAAGGGAAAAAATGGAATATTGTTTTCCTCTTTTTATACAATCAAAAGCGATTCTAGCCCTAGTTTTTATTGGCGAAAACCACGTATATAACTTGATAAAGCATATGCCAACAAGGTAATCAAAATATTAAATTCATGATTAAAACAACTCTCAAGTCACTTTCCAAGAACATTAGTTAGATCTCTCGTCAAGTTCCTATCATCAAAACCAACGCAAGCCTTGGCATTTAAGACCTAAACGTGGCAATATAACGATCACGAGTGAATTGTCTCCCTCGTACCCTAACAAGATTTTATTGAGAAAGGGATTGAAAATTTTAGGTACAATGAATCATAGATAATTTCTTTCATTTCCTGTCCATTCTGGTTAGGATGTCTATTAAAAATTTACAATAAAGTAGAGTTTTAATTTTTTATATAAAAGAGATTGTAACTTGAAATAAAAAAAAAGATTGTAAATATTATAATTTAAATTTTAGATCAAATATCATATTTTAATTGAATTAAGTCTCATATTCGAATACTAATATTCATAATTAGTTATATTTATCAACATTCAATGTATTTTTCACCCTAAGTTAAATTATACTAATCTTAGTTTAATCCTCTTAATTTATAATAATGTTATAATACTAATAGTTATATGATTTGTTGATAAAATATTAAATTTTTAATTTTAATAATTAAGACTTAAATAATTTAAGCCACTGATTGTTCATTATCCGATACTGCAATCAAAATATATAAATGAATCTAGGAGTCATCATATTTGAAAAATCAACGAAAATGTAAAATATTAAGAAGATGTTTCAATCTTAATTTATAGGGAATTTGATAAATAGAAGCATAATAATAAATTATGTTTACTTGTTAGGGAACAAAGGAAATTAAACAAGAAAGATATAAAGATGTTGTAAAAGAGAATATTAATCAAATTAGATAAGGCAACTAGGCAAATGATAATGAAAATTAGCTGGCGTAGGTTTTCATGGGACCCAAATTGGTGTACAGGAATAATGAGAGATGGGGTCGTGGGGGTTGGAGTAGGGACTTGATTGGCTGGCAATAACTGGAGGAGAGACCCCAGCCAGACAGCAGGGGAGAAAAGCTCATAATGTAATGATGTCATAAATCACCAAGAATTGTGGACCCTTTGTGCCTGTGGTCCTTCCAAAAGGATGAGCTTTGGCAAACCCTTTTTTTTTTTCTAGCTTTGAAAGCTCTAAGTTGTACAGAAAGATACTTGCTAATGTCGACTGTCGTGACCATTCAAAGTCTAGTACCCTGCAACGACACACTCGTGTGCTTGCATGAAAGCAACGCGTATTTGTTATATGTATGACTGAGTTTGAACAATTGTAACCAACGATTGAGATTGGTTGTCGGTGCCGTGCACATCTTTACCATGGTTCAAAAATATATAGTTGCACTTGCATGCATGGATCTATCCTGGAGTAAAATGTCTATTGTGTAGTCTTCTTTCTTTTACTTCTTAATATTCTTTCACTCAATTAGGTTTTTTATGTTTGTCTAGTGTTTTCTTATCTAAAAAAGTTTTTGGTGAGAAAGATTTTTTTATTTTAAAATCAAAAGAGACTGTAAATTTTAAAAATAATTTATATTAAATTTATAAATTATTCATTAAAAAAAATTACTGGCAGTATGACTCAAACGTAAATCTTACAAATGAACTCTTTGAAACCTTACTAACTCAATCAATCTCATTGTAGTTTGTCTAGTGTTTTCTTCTAGCTTTCTTCGACCATATCTAGAAAGGAAGCAAAATTAGAGTAATTGAGAAGCATGTTTCCTCCTTTGTGATGAATTTTCCAAGCAATACTTTTATATGTATATATATATATATATATATATATATTTAATTACCTAGCTACTTTAACGATAGAACTAATTTTATACTGAAAGCTTATTCTTTAAGTCATCCGAAACAAGAAAAGTTTATTCTTTAGAGTTCCCATTTGTTAAACCAAATGAATCAATAGAAATTATTGAATTCATCAGTTACTGACTTAACCAAAAGTATATTTATCATTATAACTTTTTGATTATAGGTCTATTGTTGTTTGTCAAATTTCTTATCATCACAAGCAAAATTCTTAATCGTTAGTTATAACATAGAAATCACATGTCATATCATAATTATTTGGAGAATAGCAACATTAATATTTCCACCCTTTCAACCCATGGAGAGCCATATTTCTTTTCCATCTCTTTTTTAATCAAGAAAAAGATAAAATGGAGGGCCATGGACATCACTTCAAATGAAAGTGCTAGTGTCCTTTTATTCTAAAGTTGAATTATGAGACTAACAACCTTTTTATATGATATTTGATAAGGATTTTTAACTTGCCTTCACAAAAATGGGTTTTAAGATTATTATCTCATGCATTAACCATAAAAGTTTTATTTATGAAAGAACAATAAAATTTAATGATTCACAAATGAGTTTAATTCTTGTCAAGTATCCTTCTAATAGTATAGGATTTTTATATTTTATCTTTAATTATTGTATATTATTTTTAAATTAATTTTCTTTTTGAACCATTTTAAAGATACACTCCAACATCGATCATGATGATTCTTCTTAAACGGTCATGTTATTGAGAAATGGTTTCACAAGGATGACCATGCCCACATGAAAGACTAGCCATGACTATGGTTCGAATTAAAGCCCTAAATTAGACCATGTCTTGCCCCATCAACAACAACCCATGTGGACCCAACCCAAGTCACTTGGAATCTTCCCAAGGTCATCACATCCAACGCTCAAGATTTCTTCCCTTGGAAATGATCAATTCATCTGAAACTGTTTGATCTTTTCTGATCTCACAGACTTCAATAATATGGGCGGCAAAGCTTTGTCTCAACCATGTCCCTATACTTCTAAGACAACTGCCTCAATTGTGCTGTTCATTTGACAAACACATTAGCTGCCCAATGTCCAAATTCATGTACTAAAGATACCCTTTACCTATATCACCCTATGTTCCCATCTATAAAGATACCATTGAATTTTCCAAGGCCTTGACCTATATGCATATGTTCCTTAAACCTTAAGAACAGATCATCAGCTACCCTTCCTTGAATTATATATAGAAGAACATTTCCAGATATATCATCCTTACAGTTCAATCCCTTTCAAAACCTTTGTCGAAGACGCGTTTTCGACTATCACGTTCAATCAGATCATTTAATATTGCAAGCAAGAGTGTTATTGTGCAACATAGGGGAATTCAGGTATGGCATATGAGAAAGATCTTAACCTTGAGGCTACCGAGCTCCGATTAGGCCTACCGGGCACCTCTGAGGAGTCAGCTGAGAAGCAAACATCTGCAACTCTTAGGAGCAACAAAAGAGCCTTGCCTGATATGAATGAAGGATCTGTGTCTGGTGATAACCATTCTAATGTTGCAGCTGCTAAAAAATGTGACCAAGAAACTGCCTCACCCACCAAGTAAGCAATCTTTTTGCAATCAGAAATGGAAAATTTCATGTTTTCTATAGTTTAAATTTATGATTAATGGTTACTAATAGGGCTGGTGAACATGGAATATTGCAGGGCACAAGTTGTAGGGTGGCCACCGATCAGATCTTACAGAAAAAATTGCCTCCAGCCAAAGAAAACAGAGGCTGAAACTGCTAGGATCTACGTCAAAGTTAGCATGGATGGAGCTCCTTATCTCAGAAAGATAGATTTGAAGGGGTACAAGGGATACCCAGAATTGCTTAAGGCCCTGGAAGACATGTTCAAGTTCAAAGTTGGTAAGCATCGTATTTTTAAAATCATATAAATCTTTTTGATAATTAAATGAATTTAATATTTAGTCTACTTTTTTTTTTTGAATTATCAGGTGAATATTCAGAGAGGGAAGGATACAATGGTTCAGAATTTGTGCCTACTTATGAAGATAAAGATGGTGATTGGATGTTGGTTGGAGATGTACCATGGGAGTAAGTTCTTTTCTCTATTGTGCTGAAATCAGAGATTTCATTTAGTTTTCAACTGAAAAAAAGAGAAGAAGAAAGGCTTACAGACTTTTTATTTCTCAATACAGAATGTTCACCAATTCCTGCAAAAGGCTGAGGATCATGAAAGGATCAGAAGCAAGAGGGTTGGGCTGTGTTGTATGAAAAAAAAAAATAGCCCATAAATTGACAGATTCAGAGCCACTTTGCAAGTGATGAAGAATGAAATCCATTGCTCTCATGAAGAGAGAAGATCAAACCCTTCAGCTTCGGCTATCCAAGAAGAAATTAAGATCCAAAAAGCTTTCTCCTTTGTTGATTTAGCAACAGAGAAGTTTAATACTAGGATTTTGTCCGAGGCATACGAGAAAAAAAAAGAAAAAACATTTTCATGTATAGTTTGGCATGTTCTTTCCTTTTGGAATTTGTGCAAAGGAAAATATATGAAGTTCATAGCAAGGTTTTCCCTTTTGTTTTCCATATATATGTAAATGATAAATAAAATCCCCCTTTATAATTCTTCTTTCCCTTTGTTCTTTATCCATATTATCTATCAATCTTGAAAGAGAAAAGAGATGAAAACTTTGGATTTCAAAGTTCATGTAATATAACCATATAAGAGGTTTTCAAAAAGAGAAAAGTTAGTCAAGGAGAAAGAGACCAAACACTAATCTCAAATTGCAATAGTTCTAAGATATATCACATGAAAGTGTGAACCAATTGACAACAAAGTCAAATTAATTATGGTTTTTGGTCTGCCAAAGAAAAAAAGTGTAATTATTTTTCAAAATTAAATTACGCGATATAATTTAAATGACGAAAAAAATATATGTCAATTTAAAATAATCGTTTTATGCCATCCTATATCATCAATTTTCACTTTACATAACAGACAGCTTAGCTTGATTCATGCTATGGCAATTTGGCAAACTTTTATATCTGCATGTCATAACTTTGGAGAGAAAATCCTATTTCCTTTTCTCTCATTCCTCCCTTATGTTCTTTTACGTTAGAACTTTGTTTTTATTATTTATGCATGTTTCTATTCTAAAACACTGATGGATGTTGTCAATAAATAATTAATTCAATTAATTAAAATTCCTTTTATTTGATAAAAAGATTTTAAGTTTAAATGTAATCGATTGTTAAAATCATTTTAAATGTATGATTTATAATCATCTATCTTAAGTTATCAGGTGTAATATATTTTATATTTGTTTGAAAGATTAAATAATTTATTTTCGTGAATTTATCGTTAAAAAAAAAAAAAAAAAAAAAAAAAGCCCGATGGATTTCACTAGGATTTTCCTGTGGTGATAAGGTGAATGACGCTTTAATCGAAGAAGGAGACTGCCCTTTGGACTCTTCTGATGGGCCTCAAACATTAAAGAAAATGCCCTTCTGAAAGAGAACCAAAACAAGATTGCCAAATTGGGCATTTCCAACCACAGTTGAAGAGAATGAAACCAACATGCTTGGTAGACTTGGTTTCTATATATATATACACATCATCAACTTTTGCATGATTATAATTTCACAAACATATCTAAAATAAAATGAAAAAATAAAAAACAAATTTAATAATTATTTATATTTAAAATTATCAAAATTTAAACTGAAATTAAGAATTCAATATTTAATCGACGGATCACCATTGCAGGCAATTTAGCAATTTCACTGTCTTGCTAGGCTGCAATAAGCTCCATTTTGCCAGGTATATCATACTATTAACCCAGAATTTGAAACTAATAAAGCTCATTTCAGCCCAACCAAAATGCCAGACTCAAGAATATGTTTCCTTTTATATTTTCTTCATAAAAAAAATCCAAGAGTCAAACTTGGGCTTCTTGAGTTAGGAAAGAACCACATCTTCACAACTTAAGCCCAATTCTTCATTCCAAAGTTTTTGAGCATAGCAGAACTTGGACAGTATTTCATCTAGGCCAAGTTACCAACACTTCTATTTTCGGCTTACTATTTCTTTGACTGTTAGCTGTCGATATTGGGCTACCTATTCCACTTTATTCTTTTTTTTTTATTGTTTTTATTTGAAGAATGCTACGAACGACACTTTATCAGATTCAATGTTTCGGTACTAAACAGTTCGCAATGAAGAATTTGATGCTTCTTGCACTAAGTTTCCGTTTGAATTTTCTCACGTTTTTTATGCGATATAATTAAATTTATCATATCTTTAATTAAATTTAAATATTAATTTTAATAAAATTAAATTAACATAAATTTTTTATTATAATTATAATTATAATTATTTTTATTATTATTTTCAATCTAATCGTATTTAATTTCATCAGTTATTCAAATAAAACTTAAAAATAAAAAAATAAAAAGATAGATAAAATTCAATGAAAAAGTTTGATTAACTTTTTTTATTTATATAATATTTAAGAGAAAATATTCTAAGCAACAGTGAAACTATTTATTTCACAAGTATGAACCCATTATTTTTTATTTTTTTAATATTTAAAATCCTCAAAAATTATATTTGATAATCAAATTTAAAAATTCAATATTTAATCAGTATATCTCTTATTGCATTATTTTTATACTTTAACTTAATAAAAAATCAACAATGATAACAAAATAATTTATATAAATGAAAAGATTGATCTATGTAAGGATACCATAACATTTATAAAATTAAAATTTTCATTTACACATAATGAAAAATAAAAAATATTGGATATAAAATATGATATTATTATTTATTATTACCAAAAGCACAAAAACCAAAATTTTCTCCATTTAATATTTAATCTAACTAAAAAAAATCATTTCCAAGCTGATGTGGATTTTTTTTTGTCAATTTATATTAATTTTTTTCTTTTTTTTTCTTATATCCAAAATTATCATTTGCCTCTCTTTCTCTCCCCAAGCCAGAGAACCTAAAGAAGAGAGCTCTATCTTGCATGAGACTGAGAGACCCCAAAAGGAGAGAGAGATTGAGAGGGGCCTTCAAAAACCCTAACTTTCGTTAATTTTAAATGAAACCCAGATCCAATTCCGAGCTCTAGAATCCCTAATTAAAATCAAAATTTAAACTTTTTGGGAATTTTTTTCCTGGTTTTCAATGGCTGGGTTAGGGCAACAAACGGTTGAGTTCTCGAGTTTAGTGAGTAGAACTGCCGAGGAATCGTTTATGTCATTGAAAGAACTCGTGGATAAATCTAAATCAAGCGACCAATCGGATACGGAGAAGAAGATTAATCTCCTTAAGTATATAGTCAAGACCCAGCAACGGATGCTTAGGCTCAATGTTCTGGCTAAGTGGTGTCAGCAGGTGAGTCGAGCCGCTCATGTTTTCCTTGAGTTCACTTAGCTAACTTGTTTTCACCTTTATTCGTGGTAAAAGATTTGTGGGGTTTTTGTTGATTGGAAGAAATTGTGGTTTTTTAATAAAAAGATATGACCTTTTTTGGATAGAAGATTTATTGGTTTTGAGTTTTAAATCAGTGACTCGGTTAAACTGTAAAAGATTTGTTTTTACTTCTTTAATTAGCTTTTGAGTAGCTATTGAAATTGGAATTAATTTTTTGTTTGTTTTGGAAAATGTAAGTGTAAATGGGGTGAAATTAAGAATTTTATGTGGCACATGTTCTTTGTATCTGGCGGTGTAATTTATCTAATTTTAGTGAATTCGAATCTCTTGAAGTATAGAATCGAGGTATTGTTGTGGAATTCCAGCTTGATATTGAAAGTTGTGAGAAAAAGGAAGAAGAACTACATATGCTTGAAAAATAAGTGTGTTGAAAATTTAACCGCGAGTCAGTTATGGTTGTCATAATGTCCACGTCTGATTCAGAAAATTAGCTATGTGCTCAAATAGATTACTTGTGAGGATAAATGTGTTAGAGCTGACCTGATGATTGCTGGGCTATGATGGATATGTCCACTTTTTTATTTGCATTAAATTTTTCATGAGCTTGCAAAGCCTTTTATGACTTCAATGTTCTATGCCAAGTTGCCAACCCATTATATCATGCCATTATAGTAGTTGAACCCTGTCTAGCTCTCAATTTCCCTGGTATCATCCTTTGATGTGAGTCTAGACTCAGTGGAAGTTGAATATCGTATGCAGATTATTCCTTAACATTGTGCAGGCTTTTGTAGTATTGATTAATGTCTTTTAACCTTGTTGGTATAGGAATCAAAGTGCAAGTATTATCTGACTCAGTTAAGGAGTTTAACTGTTGTGAGGTGCTAGTACAAAATTGTGCATGAAAGTAAATATGTACCTCTGATTCTTCTATAAAATTTGATAGAGTCCTTTTCACATGGGAATCAATTGACATATTACCCATATATGCTCATATTGAGCGTTATCTTGTGATGTGCAGGTTCCACTGATACAGTATTGCCAGCAATTGGCATCTACTTTATCAAGTCACGATACATGTTTCACCCAGGCTGCAGACTCATTATTCTTCATGCACGAGGGGCTACAGCAAGCTCGTGCCCCTGTGTATGATGTTCCATCTGCTGTTGATGTCCTACTCACAGGATCATATGAGCGTTTACCAAAATGTATAGAAGATGTGGGTATGCAAAACTCATTAACTGAAGATCAGCAGAAACCAGCTTTGAAAAAGCTGGACACACTTGTACGTTCTAAATTACTTGAAGATTTGTTGCCCAAGGAAATTTCTGAAGTGAAAGTTTCCAGTGGTACAGCTCTGATTTGTGTAGATGGAGAATTTAAGGTGTTAGTTACTCTTGGTTATCGAGGAAATCTATCAATGTGGAGGATTTTGCATTTAGAGTTACTTGTTGGTGAGAGAAGTGGGCTTGTGAAACTAGAGGAGATGAGAAGGCATGCTCTTGGAGATGACTTAGAACGCAGAATGTCTGCAGCAGAGAATCCATTCGTTCCCTTATACTCAGTTCTGCATGAGCTCTGTGTTGCACTTGTTATGGACACTGTTATAAGGCAAGTACAGGCACTTCGGCAAGGGAGATGGAAAGATGCTATTCGCTTTGAGATGATATCTGATGGAGGAAGTGGTGGTTCCTCACAGCTGAATCAAGATAATGAATCTGATTCAGCAAGTCTACGAACTCCAGGATTAAAACTTGTCTATTGGCTAGATTTTGATAAAAACTCAGGTGCTTCAGACTTAGGATCTTGCCCATATATAAAAATTGAACCTGGACCAGACCTGCAGATTAAATGTCAGCATAGCACATTTGTTATAGACCCATTAACTGGCAAGGAGGCAGGGTTCTCCCTTGACCAAAGTTGCATTGATGTTGAAAAGCTGCTATTAAGAGCTATAACATGCAATATATATACTCGTCTGCTGGAAATTCAGAAAGAGCTGGTGAAAAATGTGCAGATTTGCCTAGCTGCTAGTGATGTTGTTCTCCACTCGCAGGCTGATGAATCTGATAGTGAACATAAAAAGGTTGCTTTTCTTATATTATGGGTTTATTTGCTGTCAACCTATTCTGGAATGTCTTAACATAGGATCTTATCATGCATAAATGGGGATGGAGCCGAAGAACAAAGTTTTTTCCCTTTACAATCTAACTCTGAATTTAATCAGTGTTTTGTATCTCAATCCTACCTTCAATGGGGCAAAAGGAATCGACCATTTAGACTCGGTTTTTTTTCAAAAGGTTTCAATGATTCTAAGCATGTATATAAGTTGTGTCTAAAAGATCTTGTCTCTTTCTATTTTTATTTTAAAAAACTGTCACTTACATGAGAAAGTGATGGATTTCCTAATGCTACCTGCAAATTGGCCTTTTTAAAAGATTTTTGCTATTTGTTTCTATAACAACACAACCCTATACCTGGAGATAGAATGTACATGGGCAAAAACTATTGTCATGTAGTTTCATTACTTCGTCTTTAAAACCTGCTTTCCATCACTGTATTCTTTTGCTGGAATTTGTGATTATTGTATCACTGTGGTAAATTTGTGATTATGGTATCACTGATGGTACTGTGGTAAATTTGTTTTTCTCCATTTTGTGCTGTAGAAGGATGCTAAGCTTGATAATAAGGAATATGAGGGGCAGGAAGTATTGCGTGTCCGTGCTTATGGTTCATCATTTTTCACCCTTGGAATAAACATAAGGTTTTATCTTTACCCCTTCAAATAACGTATCATTTTCTTTATGTTTAATTTTCTACTTTTGTCCATTTGCTTTTCTCTACCACACTGGTACACTTGCCCTTAATTATCCATTCTCAACGGTAGGAGCCCATTAATATGAAGGAAAAAACGATGCCCATAGTGTTCCCTTCTATGATCTAGTTGATAAAGAACGTAGCATTGAGAATGAAACTCCTTGTGTTCATAAGCAATTTAATATCTAGGTGATTAGTTGTGTGTGAAACGTTGCATGCATGCTAGTTTAACCATGGAAGGATTAGGTCAAACTCCAAAAAGGGTTTCAGTGGTTCTTGTTTTAGACTGTGTTGTTGGGGAGAACTATGGTTCATGCAAGCAGATTTTAATATTGTTGCTGTTCTTTAAACTTTATGTTCTGTCTTTGATGTGAGGTTGGCTTGTCTACCAATTCAGCTTACAATATTTGCTGGGCACTTTGATGAGTGTCAGCTCTGGCTTTCACTAGCACAACAACGAGTTAACTTGTTTCTTCATTTTCCTGGGGCTAATGGATCCTTTACTTTGCCATCTTTGACTGCAGGGATTTCATTCATTACTTAAATGTACTGGTTTTGACGAGTTGGGTCCACTCTAGATTGAATAGTATCTTATATTTTATCAGAAAACTGAACAGCGGCATTATTCCTTAATTAAAAATTGGCAAGGGAATTTTCTTACTTGCTTGGTTTAGCAAGAAGCTTTTTAAAAAAATTTATGTTCAGATATATGTGCATTGTTTTCAAAATGTTTTTGAATTAGGAGAAATAATATCAAATGAAATGTTGAAAGAATTGACTTTACTGGGATCAAATCTATGAAGAAGTGTTGGTATCTTGGTTATCAGATGTATTGTTTCTGCATTTGCCACTTCAAGATTGCTCTTACCTGACTGTTGAGGATACTCTTGAGATATCTCTCTCAAAAAATACTAATTGCGGCACTTTCAGTCTTACTTGATGACTTTTATGGATGCTTCTTCACCCTGTTAATCTTTTTCTATTCCAAGATATTGAGGTGTTATTTACCTTGTTAATCATTTTCTATTGCAAGATTTTTGAAGCATCACCTTTACACTCATACATATTTGTGTTAATAAGCATTTCTTTGCCTAGTTTAGGATATCTGAAACTTTCTTTTGGATCGTAGGAATGGCCGCTTTCTTCTCCAGTCATCCCAAAATATTCTTGCACCTTCAGCATTATTAGATTGTGAAGAAGCTTTAAATCAAGGAACTGTGGCAGCAGCTGATGTTTTTGCAAGCTTGCGAAGCAAAAGTATATTACATCTATTTGCTGCTATTGGCAGATTCTTAGGCCTTGAAGTAACCAACTCCACCTTTTTCTTTTTTAATTGTTACTAAGTGCTATATAACTGCTTTTGTGTTTCATTTATTTATTTTCTATTAATAAATGAATCTGTGTTTGATTCTTGTAGGTCTATGAACATGGTTTTGCTGCAGTGAAAGTGCCCAAAAAACTTGTGAATGGTTCTGATGTATTGGTAATGGGGTTTCCAGACTGTGAGAGCTCTTATTTCCTCTTGATGGAACTTGATAAGGATTTCAAGCCTCTGTTTACACTGCTAGAGACTCAGCCATATCAGTCGGGGAAGGGTCATTCATTTATTGACTTAAGTAACGTGTTGCGCATCAAGAAAATTGACATTAGCCAGATGCAGATTCTTGAAGACGAAACAAATTTGAGCAGACTTGACTGGGGTAAATTGCTTTTGTTTTTGCCTAATGTTGGGGGTCCTAATCAGACCTCTGAACATGACCTATTCAACCTTGATGGTTCCATGCAGATTACTGGGGGTCCTTCATCAAGCTTTTCATCTATTGTCGATGAAGTTTTTGAAATTGAAAAGGGGACATCTGCAACTCCTTTGCCTACTCAGAATTTTTCTTCATTCAGTTCATCTCCTGCTTCTCATCTTACTTCTATGCCAATGAATCTTCATAGTGTAAAAGCCGGAACACCCTCTCCAAAGTGGGAAGTGGGTTTGCAGGTCTCACAGCATAATAATGTTGCAAAAGTATCAAGTCCAGCTACTCATTATGGTGGTTTATTGTATCCATCAAGTGGTCCTAAGGGCTCTCTTCAGTCTTCTTCTTTTGGTTCATTATCTTCTGGCACAGGAAGAAGCACATCTGCGAAGAAGCTACCTGCTTCAAAATCTGAGCAGGATCTGGCTTCTGTTAGATCTTCTCATTCAGTTGAGATTGGAGCATTGGATGAAGATCACTTGAGATTGCTAAGTAGTACTTCAAAGGATGCACTGTCACCAAGTCGGTCATCTCGACTATTATCTCCACCCAGACCAACTCTTCCTCGAGTCTCTGCACAAAGTGCAAAGTCTAATGGACCTAGAAGCTCATCCTCTGGAAATCTAACTACAGCTGTTAGGTTTGCTGGATCTAGTCTTTTGGCTTCACCTCCCGTATGTAAGATACTATATCTGAATTCATCTTTTTCCTGGATCTGTCTATTCAAATTTGTTTTATGGTTAGGCATATTTGACTAGCAAAATGTATCTTTTGCAGCCCAAGCAGCAGAAAGTACAATTTGTCATGCCACTTCTTGTGATGTTTCCAAACATGGCAAAAATCCACGAAAGCGTACAGTTTCAACTATTCTGAGTTTGATTCCCTCTCTCCAACGTATAGAGGCCGGTGCTGGATTTTCTAAGCGAAGGAAAGCCTCTGATGTGGCGCACACTCAGCAGCCTTCATCTCAGGTGCTTATAGCTTCAGAAATGATCTCAAAAACTGAAGCATACAGTTATGGGAATCTTATAGCTGAAGCAAATAAGGGAAATGCAGTTTCTAGCATCTATGTTTCTGCTCTTCTCCATGTGGTCAGGCATTCTTCACTTTGTATTAAACATGCCAGACTCACTAGCCAGATGGAGGAACTGGATATTCCCTATGTTGAAGAAGTGGATCTAAGAAATGCATCCTCAAACATATGGTTCCTACTTCCATCTTCTCGAGGTGATTCATGGCGACATTTATGCTTGCGACTTGGGAGGCTTGGAAGCATGTGTTGGGATGTTAAAATAAATGACCAACACTTCAGAGATTTATGGGAACTTCAGAAGGGAAGTAGTAGTACACCTTGGGGCTCTGGTGTACGTATAGCTAATACATCTGATATAGATTCTCATATTCGTTATGATTCAGATGGTGTTGTTCTGAGTTATAAATCTGTTGAGGCAGATAGTATTAAAATGTTGGTGGCAGATATACGAAGGCTCTCTAATGCTAGAATGTTTGCCCTTGGAATGCGAAAATTGCTTGGGGTTAGAGCAGATGACAAACCTGAAGAAAGCAGTGCGAACTCTGATGTTAAGGCATCAACTGGAAGCAAAGGTGCTGTTGAGGCTGCTGATAAGTTATCAGAACAGATGAGGAGGTCTTTCAGAATTGAGGCAGTAGGGTTATTGAGTTTGTGGTTTTCCTTTGGATCAGGTGTCTTAGCTCGCTTCGTTGTGGAGTGGAAATCAGGTAAAGAAGGTTGCACAATGCATGTGTCTCCTGACCAACTTTGGCCTCATACCAAGGTTAGTTTTTTTCCCCTCTTTCTTTTTAAATGAAAGTTCTTCCCCAATTCTTTTATCTCGTACTATTTTACCATGATTTTATGTTTCCTGGTATCATTTGTCAGCCACATTGGTTTCTTTGACATTTCTTTTCTTATGTAATATTACAAAAATGTCATGGCCCAGCCCATCTTTAATTTTTTTCCCCCCTAAGAACTTGACTGAGAATGCTAGATGGGCTTGAGATGGTCCCTCTTTTTCTTGAGATTTTCAGAATTACAAAGATGCCATGGTCATTACTTTGGTGCTTGGTATGGTATCATTTCTTTCCTGAGTTTTTCAGAATTGCACTGAATGAAAGGTAAAGGTTACTAGTGCTTCGGTGGTTGACTTAGATGCTTGGATGAAAGCTTTAATACCTTTTCCTTTGCTAGCTTTTGGACAAATGGTTGTTGGCTTAAAGTTGTTGCATCATTTTTTTGTGCTGAGGTAAAGGATGATAATTTATGAGCATAAGGAGTTCCCAAAACGGATCAGTAAACAAGCAACCTACATAAATGTGTTTAAGTAGGTTTCAATAAAAATTTTCCTTGAGCTACTTTATAGCAGTGTGTGATCATTTATGAGATGTGTCTTGATAAATATGTAATAGGCTAATCTCACATAAGGACCAAGGAAGGTTTTTCATTTGCAATACAAATGATAGTTTTCAATTTTGGAATATAATTTAGATTAGTTTGTATTCTCTGGATGGTGTAGGAACTTGTTTTTGGTTCAATTCTAATCTTAGTTTCAATACCCTATATGTATCATAATGCACTAATTGCTATGCTTACTTTATACAGTTTTTGGAAGATTTCATAGACGGAGCTGAAGTTGCATCCCTATTGGACTGCATTCGGCTCACTGCAGGACCTTTGCATGCTCTTGCTGCTGCAACTCGGCCTGCTCGAGCTAGTCCTGCTCCAGGAGTTCCTGGGGCATCTGCAGCTATTTCTTCTGTGCCAAAACAGTCAGGATTCATGCCATTACAGGGACTTCCAACTACAAATGGTAATCAGGCTGCTTCTGTTCCAGCAGGAAATCCTGCTGCATCTACTTCTGCAAGCTCTCTAGTGAATCATGGCCTCCATGGGGCTGCAATGTTAGCATCCGCAGGGAGAGGTGGCCCTGGCATTGTCCCCAGCTCACTGTTGCCCATTGATGTTTCTGTTGTATTACGTGGTCCATATTGGATACGAATAATATATCGCAAGCGTTTTGCAGTTGACATGCGATGTTTTGCTGGAGATCAGGTTTGGCTGCAACCAGCAACACCACCGAGGGGGGGGTCGTCTGTTGGAGGGTCCTTACCATGTCCACAGTTCAGGCCTTTCATCATGGAGCATGTTGCCCAGGAATTAAATGGATTAGATTCTGGTTTCACTGGTGGTCAACAAACAGTTGGCCTGGCAAACTCAAGCAATCCGAACTCAAATTCAGGTCCACAGTTATCATCAAATGGAAATAGAGTTAACCTTCCTAATTCCACTGCGATGTCTAGGGCAGCAAATCAGCTAGCTGGTTTAAACCGTATGGGACATGCTTTTCCAGGACCACCAAATTTGGCAGTTGTGAGTTCGGGATTGCCACTACGGCGATCGTCTGGTAGTGGTGTTCCTGCACATCTAAGGGGGGAACTGAATACAGCCATTATTGGTCTTGGTGATGATGGAGGATATGGAGGTGGATGGGTTCCTGTTGTTGCTCTTAAGAAGGTTCTTAGGGGTATTCTTAAGTACCTTGGTGTTCTATGGTTATTTGCCCAGTTACCTGATCTTTTGAAAGAGATCCTGGGACCAATCTTGAAGGACAATGAAGGTGCATTGAACTTGGATCAGGAACAGCTTGCCTTGCGTTTCTTTGTGGGGTAAGACAGTAAAAGTTCTAATTTACAGTTACAATATGTTTCACTCCAACTATCTTTTCTACATACATGAAACTTTTATCTTTAGTTCTTGTTTTCCCTGTATCTTGATGAATTCTCTTGACCTTATGTTCAAAGTACATGACTAACTTGGTTGCTTCAATTGTCCTTTGCTATATTGTCTTGCATTTTATTCCGGATAGACCATCGATTCAGTATTAGAGAGAGGAATACAGAAGGCGTTGTGGTTAATCTTGGGCTATGTTGTGTGCTGATATAACTATGGGAAGAGAGGAATGGCTTTCAGATGATAAGAGTTCACAGCTTGAAATTGTAGTATGCAATTTGACTTCCTAACTGACCACATTGTTTTCTTTCCATATGATTAATTAGTTTTTTATGATTTTAAAGATTAGAAAATAGATACGCTTCGGCAAGCATGGCTAACCAATTAAAATATGAAAATGAGATGGAAAAGTATATTATAATTGATTAAAATTCATTTAGCTAGACTTGTTGGATAATCAGACAATAAAACATAGGGTTGAATAAAGTAGCATTGTTGATTGTTTGATTTCTGTTGGAATGCTTCTTTCTTCATAGGCCGATTTTGTGTATTTTATATGGAGGAACTGTAATTAGTTGGGATAGTGATAGTGATAGTGATATGATTACATGTCTTTCTGCAGAGGCTATGTGTTTGCCATAAGTGTCCACAGAGTTCAACTACTTCTTCAGGTTCTTAGTGTGAAGCGCTTCCATCATCAGCAGCAGCAACAACAGCAACAAAACAATGCTAATGCTCAAGAGGAATTAACTCAATCTGAAATAAGCGAGATATGTGACTACTTCAGTCGCCGTGTTGCATCAGAACCCTATGATGCCTCACGTGTTGCATCATTTATTACTCTTCTCACATTACCGATAGCCGTTTTAAGAGAATTCCTGAAATTAATAGCATGGAAAAAAGGATTAGCCCAGACACAAGGTGGAGATATAGCAACTGCACAGAAACCCCGAATCGAGTTATGTCTTGAAAATCATACTGGGGTAAATGTTGATGATAGTTCTGAAAGTTTATCTACAACAAAAAGCAATATCCACTATGATCGACCTCATAACTCTGTCAATTTTGCACTGACCGTTGTACTTGATCCTGCCCATATGCCTCATATAAACACTGCTGGTGGTGCTGCTTGGCTGCCCTACTGTGTGTCGGTAAGATTAAGATATTCATTTGGTGAAAGCCTTAATGTGTCCTTTCTGGCCATGGAAGGAAGCCATGGAGGTCGTGCATGCTGGTTCCATCTAGATGACTGGGAGAAATGCAAGCAGAGGGTGGCTCGAACAGTAGAGCTTAATGGATGTTCACCAGGTGATGCCATTCAAGGAAGGTTAAGAACAGTAGCAGAACATGTACAAAGAGCTCTCATCTGTGCCTTCAAGGATTGAGAGATGGTGGTAAAGACGGATTTACAATAAAATCCATCGACTTTTTTCATAGTATCATGTAACTACATGTATAAGAGAAGTTTTAATTCTCTCTTCTGATTTGATTAGCATTTCACTGTAAATTTGATTAGTGTTAATATTAGTGTAAATTTGGTAGTATCATGTTTTGCCGTAGTTACTGGTTTTAGCAATCCTTAGCTAGTAGCCAAATAGATATTTCTTGAGAATTAAAAGGCACATTTTCTAAAAGCATAGAAGTAAAGCAGTTTTTCTTTTAACAATTATTAAGATTCTGACTTGAAGATGCTACCTCTCCTATCCTTCACAAAATGTCCAAAAATTTCACTCATTGTGTATTGAAAGTCCAATTGATTTGTTTCCTTGTCCAATCATACATGGTTTGGTAATGTAATGGTCTTCAATAAAATCAAAGCTAATGTTCAAAAAATATAACACTCACTATTAGAGGAACCCTAATTATCATGAACTCAGAAACCAAAATTCTAGATAAAAGAAAAGGGTCATTAGCTTCCCTCAGTATATGCATAAAACAAACGAGAAAAACACGGCCCTTTTGCTTCTTTCTCTCTCCAATAACTCATCCATTAAATAATCATTCACCAAAATTCAAAAAGGGAAACAAACTCACCTTATTAAAAATGTTAGCAATAAATTTTCTATACAAAAAACTTAGAATACCCCATTCCATTTCAGGGCCAGAGATTTAACTTGTTGAAAACAAGATACTTCCAACAAAACTTTATAAAATAAAAGTCCATTATAATTCCAACTTGCATTAAAATTTTCTTCAAATACATCATACAGATACCCATCCATCCCTTTTCAGTGGTCCCACTTCCCACTATCCAAGGAAAAAAAATGGAAAAGAAAAAGAGAGAAAGCGAGTTCCCACCACCAGTGTTTTTGGTCATCCTCCACTCACCCAACTATGGAAGTAATAAGAGGAAAACTTCAATGAACCTTTGATATTTTCCCTTGACTACACCAAGGAGTAACATCAATTTGCCTTTCTAAGTTTTTCTAGCTAGGCATTGGAAATCACTCTTTTCCTTTCTTTTTTTTTCATTTTTTCTTTGCTTTTTGGACCAAAACCGGAAAAAAGATGGATTGAAAAGTTGCACTGACTTGATTGATGTTGCCGTTGAGAATTAAAGATTGGACCGAAGCAAGAATTAGCCATTGCAAGTGGGTACACAGGCGCGCTAGGAGTCATTTATGGGCACGCGCCGTCACATGTTGTTTTGGTCTAGGAAGGGGTGTTTGATTCGGGTTTGACAATCGTTGGTGCATCAGGTTGGTGTGGTCGAAAGATGGCGGAGGCCAGTGATATAGGCATGATGCAAAGTGCCTTGGACTGAAGAAACTGCATGGCAGCTCCAATGTCTTCTTCCATCAGCTTCGCCACTTCCTGTTCAGTGCCATCATTTGACCATTTCTCCCAAGCAGGCTGGGTTCCACCTTCTCCGCCATCTCCCTATTCACAGAAAGATAAAAGTAAACTCAAGGAAAATAAAACTTAGAAAACACGGAAGATCTGAAAAAGACAGCCAACTACTTGATCCAGTTAATAGATTCATACAAAAACGACCTGTCAAATGTACACATATATAACCTAGCAAACAGCAATGCATGGGACTAAAAAATAATAAATATTTACATATTACAAGGTTACCACGGATTATGTTTTCATGCATACTCAATAGTTGCGTGCCTAATCATGGAAATTTGCATGCCAGTACTACATTCCGTATATTTTCACAGGGTAAGATTCAGAATTATGATTCTTCCATAAGCACTACCTCAATGGATGATAGGGGTACATCGGCCACGAGCTGAGCCACAGCACCTGCCGCACCAAGTCTGCTCATGCTCAGAACCTGTTCAAACATTCAACGAAATTGATGGCAGTGAAGAGAAAACAATTGATAACAGAAATTTGCTGTAGGAGAAAAGAAGTAAACAGTAATCAAGTTCACATTCTTTATTATTCCAAGCAACAGTAATGCAATTCACATTCTTTACTATTCGATAATGACTTAATTTTAGCCTTGAGATTCCGAGAACCGACAAGAGTCAATTCGGTTTGACATTGTAACTACTACACATAAAGCAAGGCCTTAAGGTCTTCATAGATTGCCTAGGATTCAGCATAAGGGTCCAACCTAAGACAAGGACTTGCTAAAGATTGTTGGAAGACATTATTAGAACAAGTAATTCAAATTAGTTTAGTAATTTTATATAGTGATGATGAGTTTTTTTTTTTTTTCCTTCTTTTATTTTTTTAAATTTTCTTGGGATTAACGAAAATGCTGCTGCAAAAGTAGCAACGAAGAATCCAATAAGTGTTCTAAAAATACATGTAGAGAATGGACTGCTTAAAAATGAAATCCGAGAAGATATTTACAACTGAAATATCTTTAAAAGGATTCCTTTCTTAACATATTGAGAAAGGCTATTCAACAACAAAAATTTAAAATTCAAAGAATATTAGTTAAGTTAAGATTCAAATCGAGATTTTAAATGTTAATACCTTGACTTGAAGCCTTAGAAATTTCACATAATCTACAATTTCGTCAAGCATGGCTGCCCTATCCGTCTGCAGAAGATTTAGTAATGCATCAGCAAATATGGAATTTGGATGTCACAAACAGATTCCCTATCATTTCATAATTGTACAGTAGCACCAACTCCTCGGATTTCATAAAAAATGGAAATATTTTCATGATCTCATCTTGCCATGTACAATTCATGCAAATGTGGAAAAACTCAGGGCGGGGGGCAAAGTACCAAAAGCAAGTGAGGTCTAGCCTTTGGCTTGTGTCAGTAAGCAATAACAATAAAAACATTCAACTCTAATCCAGAAAAACAGCAACCAGTAGGTCAGATACAAGTTGGTTTATTTTACTTTTCATGTACCAGGAAGAAGAATCAAAATGGAGCAGCAAACAAGTATACATAAAACATTTATGAATTATGCCAAGCAGAAGCAAACCTTGTTGCAGCTAGGAACCAACTCCTGTAAAGCTTTCATTCTTTCAGCGATTCTTTCTCTACGTAACTGCGTTCATATTGTCAAAAAGAAAAAAATTATTAAAGTTCATTAGTAAGAAAAGCAAAAACATGTCATATACAGAACCATTCTGAGTCATCTTGAATGAAGAGGAACTAAGCAGCAGGTAATAAAAGAGCTTCTAACACAACAGAAGCCCCATGTTACATCATTCCAAGTTCTATCAAACAGAAATCAAGCTTACCCTCTCAGCAATACTGTGGGGATCCGTTGCCTGCCCTCGCCTAGCTCGTACCCTTGGACGGATGGCAGGTGGGTGTGCAGCAGCAGCAACTGGACCTGATTTTGGCTGGCTATGAAATGGCTGCATCAGGATGTAATAGATTATGCAATCAGAATTTTCTAAAGCTGTGTAAAAAAGACAACAACAATCAGCTTCCTAATGCATCAAAAGGACACATTAAGATACAGAATACTCGGTCCTTTATTAAACAGGCAATTCTTTGCCCAAAAAAGAAAATTAAACAGGCAATTAGCTCGATAATATGATCACTAGTTGACAGCATTTGGAGAATTTGCACAGTTAAATTCAAAGAAAGAAACGGCTTAAAAGTTTTGTTAGACTCGCAACTCGTAGTGCGCATGACATATTAATCTTCATAAATAAATTAGTGAACTTCTAATCATTTTGTACAAATGGATGACTTCCTATTTCATTACACCGCATCTTCCGAGTCTAAAACAATCTGAAGGGCTGGTCAGATAAGCGCAAGCACAAAAAGCACATATGAACTAATAGTTCTCAATATCAGAAACATGAGGTAGTGAACGTATGCAGTGATTAAATTACTTCAATATACACTTTCATTTAGGATTCAAGGGATTAAATTTCAGCATCCAGTTTCCTAAAGCTGATCAAGACTTGAAACAACGCAAATCGGATCAAGGGTACTTCTATATTTTCTACAGACTAAAAAAAAAAAAAAAACATTAAACAAATCTAACAAGAACTTGCATAAGTTGGTATAATGCCACACTAAAATAACCACAACATTTACTTAAAATTTTCCAAGCCAATGAAAAAAACCCTCAACTAACTTAGGAAATCAACAAACTAATTAAAAATTTTTGTCCCCCAAAATCATGCCAAAAATCTGCAAATTAAAATTAACACAAAGATATAAAAATGGCTTAACCAAGCACTGAAGTCATCCACAAAAGTCAAAATTTTGACGTGACTCATTTCTTTAAAACTTGAAACTCAAATTGCAATTGTACACACGCGCTTGACATCAAGCACTAAAGCACGTGGAAATTTACTTCCTCACAAAGATCATCATTCATCACTACAAACGCTGAAAAGGACCACTCGAGTCTCTGACCTTTGTATTAGATGAGAATGAGATGATAATTGCAGAGCTCTACGTACGTGTGGGAAAAAGTCACACGTGCAGTAACACATTCTCTGTGTCAGTAATTATAACCCTTTCACCCCCACTCTCCCTTAGAGTGAGTGGATGTACGAACAGTAAGATAAAAATAATGGACTAACCTAATGATTAAACCCCTAGACTTTTCACAAAATATCAAATATACCCCTAACCTTAACCATAACCGTACAAAAAGGGCTAATTTACGGTACAGCCTTAAAAGAAAAAGAGCACAATCAGGTACTTCAGGTTCAATCTCAAATTTTAATTTCTTTTTGGCGTATGCTAAAACATAAATGGACAAATAACAACAGTCCCTAGCCCAAAAGTTCAAATGCTCTAGGAATAGGCTCCTTAGGAACTTTTTAAAAACCAGAGTCAAAAAATAGGAAAATGAAAATATCAAGGGTATTTTTGTCCAAAAAATTAAGTTACCTGGTGGAGCTGAGGCGGAGGAGGCTGAGGAGGAGGTGGTGTAGGGCGGATTTGCTGAGTTTGCACTTGTCCAAAGGGTGGAAACAAACTTGTCATATGCATAGTATCTCTCTCCTGCCACAAAGCAAAGTTACAAAAGACACATTATGACTGTATCACCCTTGTAATTTTTTTCATTTAAACTAATTTAAAGCATATAACCTTCCACTGAAACCATCAGGAAAAATTGTTTTTCCTTTTGTTCAAAAGGGCGCAGGTCAAAGTTAGGAGAAATCACAGTTGGAAAAAGCTGACATTAAAAAGAAAATAGGTACAAAAATGAAAATTTTCAGGTTTCAAAGCTGCTGAAATTCAGAATCCCTTGAAAAAATAATAGCCCTCCTGACCTAATATCCTATCATTTACAAATCTTGAAAAATGAAAATTTTGGTTAGATTCTACAATTCTTACATGTGATTCCATTATCCATGCAAGTGAAAAAGATATAAAGGAATTTAAAAAATGACAGAAAAAGGACAACCCAAAACTGCCAATCATGAAATAATCCGTTTCTCAAAGGACAAAATGAAATTATACTAGTACTTGTAGCCCATTTTCTGTACCCAACTTTAAAAAGAAAAGGGAAAGTAAAAGAATGCTACTACAAACAAAGAAAAAAAAAGTATTTAATTAATGGAGAGGTTGAATGTCATACACTGATTCCAGAAACATTAGAAGCGGCTGAACAAGATGCATTATTGTTGTTGTTGTTATTGTTGTTGCTGTCAACTACAACTCCGTCTCCATGTCTTAAGAACCCGTGTTCCAAATTCAAACCTAAAGGCATCATTCCCATACCTATACCAATTCCCATCCCTCTAAACCCTCCACCACCACCACCACTACCACCTCCATCAGCACCACCACCGCCACCAGCCGCACCACTAGTTGACCCTAACTGTAACACCATAGGCAAGGAGGAACCACCCACTTCGCCACCACCGCCTGCACCACCACCATAGCCTGGTGGCACCGCCAGGATCTGCTCAAAGAAATCATCACCTAACCCTTCCTGTTGATTACCTGCCATGTTTAACACTTAACAAAAAAGCAACTGCTTCCCCTCTACTACTTCTATATATACAAAAAAGACTTTGTCTTTGAGTTTTACTATATATAGAAGAAGTGTTTCTCAATGTTTTAGACAGTGGAAAGAGATTTTAAAAACAGGGTTCTCTTTTTTTTTTTGGTTTTTTTTTTCCTTAGTGGGTTTATAGAAAGTTATGGGGTTTTAACGGGGCAACCAAGAAACGTGAGGGGGTGTTGGCGAAATGGGTGGCAGATCCAGAGCCCGATAACCCGGAAAGAGAATTGTGGATTCCAAGAAGAATTTCCAAGTTATGGCCTTTTACTTGGTGTTGGTCTGCTGTCTCACCACTGTTTTTTCTTTTTTGGGTGTGTTTTTCATTGAATTGTTTTCTCGGTTCAAAACGATTGGAACTTGAGAAAGAGAAGAATTTGAGAAAGGAAACTGAACAGAAAGAGTGATTCTTTTGTGGTTTTGCTTTGGGTTTTGAGTCTTCTAACTCTGTGTTCTGTGAGAGAGACCTTTGGTTTGTGTTGTGAGCTATGGTTTTAAAGGGCGAGAAATGGGAAAGTTTTTTGTTTTAATGAACAAAAAAAAAAGAGTTGGTTTTTAGGCCCACTCGCATGAAAGAACGTGGAGGAACAAACAATCAAAGGAAAAAAAGAAATCAACTTATGTGATGATCGTAGTTTGATGAACTCCATTTTGTGTTGTATAATAAATAATATTAATTATATAATATATGATAAATTAATTACATGTGTAACACAATTTTTTATACATATTTGTAATAAGATATATATTTTACAAATAGAATGTAGATAAGAAATAATAAATTTATAAATATTTACTTTTATAATTAATTATAAAAAGTTATCTTATATATTAACAATAAATTTTATAAATTCCACCGGCTTAAAGAGTTAATAAGTATCTTAGTAGGATTTTTAATTTTACCATTCTAATAGGGTATGTTTATAAATATTAAAAATTAATTATTTAATTAATACATGTCGGTTTCTTAATTTCACTATTGATAAAAGTTTAATGTTTTTCAATATTAAAAGGTAATAAATCATAAATGTATCTTAAATGTATAAGTAATCATGATTGAACAATAATTTAATATTGTTATCTCCTTTTGTTTAAGAAAGCTGAGATATAAAGTTTAGGTCCCTTTTTCTTGCTTTAAATTGTATCAAACCAAAACCAATATCTAAATAAATTAATTTTTTTATTAGGTTTGGAAGGAAAACTTCAACTTAAAATAAAGTTTGACATTGATTTTATTTGAATAATCAATGAATTTATTCTCAAAATGATATAATATTACAAGTCATTCAAATGAAGTATTAAGCTTCTGATTAACAATAATGGTTATATATAAAATGGAGAAGCAAGCTTAGTATTTAAGAATTTTAGAAAATTTTATTAAGCAAAAGTTTTTAAAGTGGATGTTTTCATCATCAAAAGACAAACGGAAAATGGGAGAATTGGAGCAATATATTTTGTTTTTCTTTGTTGTATTGTCTTTGCATGTAATTTGTGCTAAGTGACACATTAGAATCCAAATCAAAAGAACTACCTTTTAAAGTGTGTGTTATCCATACATTACAAAATTAGAAGAAAAAGTATTAATTAATATACCACAAATTTGCCATAAATTTAAGTGCTATGATTAATTTTATTTATCTCCCTCACCTACTTGCCATGCTTAAATTGGATAATTGAAATTTCATAACTTGTTCAATTATATCCTCTAGAAGATCCACTTAGTGGCCCATTAGGGTCTAGTTCAGTGTGATTAATTAACCAATAATGCTCAAATTTTTTTGTCTAATCAAAGTTTAATCCACCTATAATCCAAAAATGGGGTATCACTGTTTTTGTTCTTTAGGTAAGCTTATAATTCGAAAAGTTAAAAGATGTTTAATGCATTTCTTTGGATTTTAATCTGTTTTCTTGACACGTGATTACCAACCTAATTAAGAAAATTAAAAAATTTGTGCTTGTATGGGGGTCCATGTTAAGAAGAAACAATGGTTCTTGGCCCACCAATGAATTATTTACCGGATGAGAAAGCAAAGTCAATTTGAGTGGGCACCAGCCTCATACCACCCACCGAAGGAATATATATTATATTATATATGTCGTATTTATTTTATATCAAATAAAATATAAAAATTATTGTATTATAATTTATATTAATAAATTTAACAAACATATTTTTTTATTATTTTTTTATCAAAGTCATGGTCTTTGTTAAAAATTTAAATTATATTAATTTTATATTTTTTTATGTATCGAATTTAAAATTATGAGATCTAACTCATGCTAAAGTATAGATCATTAATCAATAACAACAGCAGTTAGCTATGACTCTTACTCTTAGACATTTTATATGAGCAACTCAACAAGCAGCATTTCCTCAAGCCCCATTCGGCTAAAACAGACATTTACAGATATTTATTTCTTTTTCCTTTTGTTTGCCTTGCAAGATGGTAGCATTACAACTCGAATCAATGATCTCGACTCTACTTCCGATGTCTCAATCATCTGTGTTAAACCTCTGATGTAGGACAAAAGTTGGGAGTAAGATTGGCAGTCCAACTTGTACCTGATACGCTCCAACTAGGTTCGACTTTATAAGATAATTTATTTTTTAAATCAGATTTTGGATCAAACCAAATAAGATATTTAAAAAAAAAAATCGAAATCAAATTTTACATACTCTTCCTCTATATTTTTTCTATTATTTATTTAATTTTATATTTATATTTAAAAAATAATATTTTATATTCAAATTTAATATTTTATTAATTTTGAGTAAAATTGAATCGATTGTGGATTTAAATATATACCAGTCAAGTCGAGCATTAAACTTATAGAGTCAGATTGGGTTCAAGATGAAAAAAACTCGTCCTTACCCAACCCGTTACTGTCTATAGGTGGGAGTGCTTGAAAATCTTAATTTCTTTAAGATGCAGCGGCAACAATGTATCAGACGATTGTCTTTCCATTTGATAAACAATCACTAACGTCACTGTTCTATGTTCAAAATTATTTGTTTTAAGCTCATAGATACCACAGATATGAATTGAGAAATTATACCCACTAGAAGATGGTTTTAAAAACCTTATACACTCTCCTTAGAGCTGGACACCTCAACATCTGGTTTCTTCTCTTCACTAACTGCTGTAGGAGTCTCCTTAGATTGTTCCGTTAGAGCCTCGGGATCCTTTTTGAGCTCAGACTCGAACTCCTTCGCAGCCTGCAAAATTTGCAGACTATCAAGTTTACTCGTACCAACCATGTAGAATGTCACCAAGGATACATCTAATTAGAAATATTACTTGAAACATCTTGGCATGCACAAAAGAACAAAATGTTTCGGTAATTGTCAAGGCAGCTTTGTACAGACAAATTGGAAACTGAATTTATTGAAAAGTGAAATCATGTCGCATTTTCTTTAAGAGTGAACTGTTCTTTCCATACTGCAGGCAACCAAATCTGAATGGGGATCTATCTCATGAACTTGACTTGAAAGATTAACTGAAGTGACTAAAAAGTAGACAGCATGACACTCAGCATGAGCCACCAAAATTTTTCCAAGAACGATAATGCTCAACATGAGCCATACAAGAATGTCCTTGAAATTCAGTTTAAAAGGAAAGGATTCTCAGGATATCAAGATACCCACACCAATCTCTAACTCACATCACTTGCTGAACAAAGAAATAACATTCCTTTTCACTGAGCAAATGAAAGGAACCTCCCTGAAATAGGAAATAATGTAAAGCAAGCCATACTTAATTCCAATTTCCAGTCATCTAGTTGCATATTTCTTCATATTTTCCCCATTAAACCTAAAATTTTGGAATGAAACAAGCACAATATGAAGAAATTATATACACCTTGACCAAAAAAAGAAAGATAATCCTTTAGCAATTGGAATTTGGAAGCCAACCAAAAAAAAGGAATAATACTGTTGAAGTTAAGATGATGACAATTGAGGTGCTTCTCAGATTAATTCACCCTAACTAATGTTTGTATTCTTCAGCAATTGGAATACAAATGGAATGGTATGATGAAGTTTGAGAATGGCACCAAATGATTCTTTCAAAAGAACTTCACTGATAGGAACCGGTGAGTATGATCCTTCTGGAAAACTAGCTAATGTCTGTTTGAATTAATATTGCGGGATATATTTTTCTCTAGGACTTGAAAAAACTGGCATCTCAAGAGAAGTTCATATATTGGGAGGGATCATCGTTTAAGCCATTCACTGAACAGGGAAATGTTTATTGCTAGCATTTGGCCAACTTTAAGTGGAAAGCAACTCCCTTGTTACCATATTGCCTTTAGTTTCAACATTAACTCATTGTGAAGCTTCCAACATAATATGTAGAGTGTCATAGTGATTCTTTTATCCCTGATAAAATTGTCCTATTTTAAATTTGTTCTCTGAAAAGCTAAGAAGAAATTGTTTCGGTAGCCCATGATTGGTTTTTCCTTAGACCCAAAGCCCCTTAAGAAAATAGAGTTCAAGAAGACTCTGAAAATAAATTACAGCACAGATATCCTATATCTCCACTCAACCTGCTCTGCCCAGGATTTGACTAGATTCTTAACGCTTTACATGTTACTCAAAAGTGGTTGTACAGAATTGTGTTTCAGGCTGGCATGTGGTCAACTTAGTGGCAGGTTCTTCTATTAGGTCGTGTAAAATAAAACTCACATTGAGATTTTACTGTCCATTTGGTTTTCCTACAGTTCCTTTCTTCTAGTGCTATTGTTGATTTCATTCTTGATATATCATTCCTATCGGTTTGCAATAAACAATTCAGGGATAACGTGCAAACCCACTATGCTATGAACTTTTGGTAGCAAATCACATGCAACACTTCTGGTAGAAGAGAGGGCTACACTCAACTGGCGACTGACAAGTACTAAAACTAGCAACCACCCAAATTTGGCTATAGTCAATCACTAGGTTTCAACAATAAGAAACTACTCCGATTATCATCCACGAAAACCTGTAAACTAACTTACCAATCCTATTTCCCATTACAAGTGCAACAGCGTTTAACTAATATTTACAATACCATGCTACTTATTTGGATAAGTTTCCTAAACACAAGGTGTGCACCATCAATAACCCATTCAAAGGTAATACCATTGCATTTATCCATCAAACATGTTAGCAAAAGAATACGAAATTTTCTAGAAAACTCTTAGTATACAAGATCAGTAGTTCTCCAATGTATTCAAGGTGGTTAGAATTAATGAATTTTACAAACAAGAATCTAAAATTGATGTCAAGAATCATTACTATTGGTCTAGAGGTTTCAAGTAACCAAGATATGTACTAAGTTTCAGTTTAATAAAATTTGAGTTAGTAATGTATTTTGAGTCCCAATCAACAGCACAACTAATTCACCTAATTAGTCACCTAATTGAACAGCAGAACAAAGCCAAAATTTCTTTCCTTTTCATTTTTCTACTAAAATTTTTCAGACACAACAGCAAAGCCTCCATTTTACAATAACCCAAATAACAAAAGAAGCATTTTTGAACAAAAGGATTTTCACTTTTTGACATATCAAGCAAAACCCAGATAAGGAAATGAACAAACCTGTTGAAAACTCTTGACAGTTTTCCCAATACTTCTCCCAACTTCGGGCAATTTCTTTGGTCCAAATACAAGAGCAGCTACTCCAGCAATAACAACAAGTTCAGGCACACCAAGACCAAACAAAGCATTGCAAGTAAAACGCTTTTTAGTAGGTTCAGCTCTTGTTCTCCTTCTTGGTTGACCAACAACAAAAACAGATTTGTTTTGAGATTTGTTTCTGTTCAACAAAGCAAGGGTGTTATTGCTGGTGATAAAATTGGACTGAGAAGAAGAAAAAGGAAGTGAAGGTGGTGGAGGCCTTGAGAGAGATAGAGTTATAGAAGTAATCCCCATGGTATTTTAAGTGCTCGTCAAGATCTTGGAGTTAAAGGGTTTTGGATCAGTTTTCAAGTGCGAGAGTTTCATACGTGTGGGTGAAACTGGGGTTTCGGGCAGGAGATGAAAGGATAAAAGGGTCGGGGACTCGGGGGTAATATTTTGTCTTTTTCTGTTTTAATGTAGACATCGAAATGGTTTTGTACATGTGGTGGGTGGTTACTGGTAGCTTAGGCAGTAGTAGTTATAATTTTTTTTATAAAAAAATCTCTGCAGTTTATTAAGAAAAGTTGCTAGTATTAATGGAACTTGTAATCATGGGAACTTGTGTATGATTTGAGACTTGGAATTGGGTTGCTTTGGAGTCTGAAATATTTGGTTTTTATATTGGCATGTTACACATAAATGCACCAAAAAAGGGTAATGGAAAGAGGAAAAATAGAGAACTTTTCTAGTGTTTTTGGAATTGTTGTAGTACAAATTTGACTACTGTTACTAGTAGTTTATTTTGGTCATTCATCCATGCCAAAGAAGAAGACTTCCTTTCTGCATTATATCATCAAAGGCAACAATTTACTTCTATGGGCATATGCATTCACTCCCAAGATTCAGCTGCCTGCCTCTCTTAAAGCACAAAAAACCAATAGCCTCACGCCACATTAAACAAATCCATGCCCAGTTAATCACCAATGGCCTCAAAGATCCCTCCTTTTTTGCCAAACTAATTGAAAACTACTGCTTTTCACCTTCCCCACAAAATACCCAATATGCACAATTGATATTCGAACGCTTTGACACCCAAAGTATGTTCCTTTTCAACACTTTGTTAAGATGCAGCCAGCCCAAAGTCTCAATCTTTACTTTTGCCAACTGGGTTTCAAAAGAACTCTTGGTTTTTGATGATTTCACTTACATTTTTGTGCTTGGAGCCTGTGCTAGATCACATTCATTATCAAAGTTATGGTTAGGGAGATAAATTCATGTAAAAGCTTTGAAATTTGGTGTTATGTCAAACCTTTTGGTAAAGACTACATTGATTCATTTCTATGGAAATAATAAGGATATTTTCTCAGCAAGAAGACTGTTTGATGAAATGGCTGAGAGAAGTAGTGTTACATGGAATAGCATTATTAAGGGCTATTGTTCACAAAGGGAGAGAGCTAAGAAATGTTGTAGGGAAGCTTTGGTGCTGTTCAGAGACATGTTAAATGATGTTTCTGGGATAAATACTACTGATACTACCATGGTTTGTGTTCTGTCAGCTTGTTCTCAATTGGGAATGCTTTACGTTGGGGCTTGTATTCATGGTTTTATAGAGAAAACAATTTTTAGGCCTGAAAATGATGTTTTTATTGGAACTGGTCTTGTTGACATGTATGCAAAATGTGGGTACATTGACAGTGCTTTATGTATTTTTAGACTAATGAAAGTGAAAAATGTTTTGACTTGGACTGCCATGGGAACTGGCTTAGCTGTTCATGGGAGAGGGAAAGAAGCATTGGAGCTTTTGGATGCAATGGAGGATTATGGTATCAAACCTAATCCAGTGACTTTGACTAGCTTGTTTTCAGCTTGTTGTCATGCGAGGCTTGTTAAAGAGGGACTTCATTTATTTCACAATATGAGGAGCAGGTTTGGTGTTAAGCCTCAGATACAACATTATGGCTGCATTGTTGATCTTCTAGGCAGGGCAGGACATCTAAATGAAGCGTATGATTTCATCATAGAAATGCCAACAAAACCTGATGCCATATTGTGGAGGAGTTTATTAAGTGCATGCAATGTTCATGGAGATGTTGCAATGGCTGAGAAGGTGGGGAAGATTCTGCTCCGGCTAGAACCACCAAGGAGTTATGTTCATATGCCTGTTACTAGTGAGGATTATGTAGCTTTATCAAATGTTTATGCTTCGGCCGGAAGGTGGCAGCAAGCGGAGATGGTAAGAAAGAGAATGAAGTTAAAGAGGGTAGAAACCAAACCTGGTGGTAGTTCCATACAGACCATCAGCAATCACCTTGATGGATTGTAGGTCTGGTGGTGGGACTCAATTTTTTGATATGGGAAGTGAAATAGCAAAATAGTTTTTCTTTCTTTTTTTTTTGATAAAATGAGGCAATGAAAGAAAAGATGAAATTATTGTGGAAAGAATTCAATATTTATTCATTTTCAATAATGATTCTCCTGCAGATTTTCGTGCAGATAAGGAGCCACCAAAAGAGAATACCATGTAATATGAAGGGTAGGTAGAATTTAACACAGGCAAGGAATAAGAAAAACTTTCCCTTTGATTAGCAGAATGGTGTGCGAATTAGACTTAATAGATTGCCAAACTTTTTGCAAAATGTTGGTCAAAAGATAATGTAGAAATCTAGCATAATCCTTTTCTTTCTTTTTATGCCTCTCCCTTTTAACAAATATAATGATTACTGGTAATTGGTATTCTAATCATTTCTTAGAACAGTTTGTTGATACGATTGCCATTAACGAATTTTTTACACTGCCACAGTTGCTAGTTACACTTACCATACCACAAGTATACAAGAGAGAAAATGCATCATCACCAGCGAAGAGGAGGGGGGTTGGTGGCCAAGAGCTAGTGGCCTCAAGAAATGGTTTCTCTCCCTGCACCTGCTCAACATGTCATCCGATATAAGGAGCCAAGCAATGTTCACTCCAGAGTTTTTCAATCCTTCAGTAGAATAAAAACTTCTGATCACTTCCACTTCATGATCATCTTACTTTGCTGGAAAACCTGTATTGGATATAAAATCATTTAAGTAATACTTGCTTGAAAAGTTATTCACATTGACAACTCTTCAAATGCCTGCCTTCCCCCATATCCTTAAATCTTTTTGCAGTAAACAAACTTGTTTCCCAGGCTCGAGAGATGCAGAAAATGGCTAAAAAGATATACAGAAAGGTCCATATGCAACGGAAATGGCCATGGTAAAATCGACCACTGTATTGATTAGCCAATCTTTCGAACATATGTCACATGATTAATTGAAAGGTTAAATCTAGCAGTTGCCATTACTACATAATTAACATAAAGAACTACATTGTTTCGACAAGTTAAAGCAGAAATATAGTACAGCTCGGTCGTTCCAAGGCATTCTTCAGTAAAAACTCTCTTTAAACTGCGCTTGTGTGCCTTGCTACTGTTGCTCCCTGTTAGACTGGGGCCCAAAGAGGCTTACACCCCCGCTGATGCACTTTTGCGGATGCTCCAAGCTAGCCACTCGCTCCAAAGAAGCTGTCCGTCCAATTTTGTTTCTTGTTACTGCTGACCCTCCAGAATTTGGTTGTACGTTTTCAACTGAAGAAATATCTGTGAGTGCATCGTTGATTCTCAGGTTATGAGTGGATATAGGATTGTTTGCAGCAGTCGGATAAAAGGGCTGCTTTGGGCCGTCTTGCACAGGAACAGCAGCATCTGTTGACGTATCAGACGGACTTCCATCAAATGATGACATGCCCATTGTTGATATTTCAGGTGAGGCATGGAACAAATGGTTCAAACCGGTGACTCTTTTGACAGCCTCTTCAGCCATTTTTACCTAAAAAATTCACCAATGGGCATAATATTAAGTACCAATTTCTACTACATCTTCTATACAAAGATCTCTAAAAATTTTGGTTGCAAAAAGAAATTGTTTGCTCATCGTATCAACTATCAACCACGGATAACTCCCAGCTTGTAAGCCAAAATTTCCACCGGGTTTAAGCCTTGCAAGATCTAAACAGGCTCCCTATAGTTGCCTCCGAAAAATTCCTATCCAGCAAGACACTCAACTCGAACACCAATATATCAAGGATCACTTACCTTTGCTCTCAATGTTTCAACATCAGCTTTTAAAACTCTGTTGTCAACAGCTGCTTCACTGTACTTTTGGCTAACGTCACTGAGGCGCTTCAATAAGTTTGCTTTTTCATCTCTTAGTTGTGCAACCTACATTAAATAATGGATTAGGATATCTGTCCCTCGAGGGGGAATGGAAAGAACAAGAAGAAAAGGACACACAAAAACAGACAGTGGGGAAAAGCACCACACCTGTGTCTCAACTTCTGTCAAATGAGCCTGCTTTCTTCTTCTAGAGCGCCTAGCTGACTCTCTATTGGAAAGCATCCTAAACCACCAAATGGATCAATTGGTGGGAATAGAACTCAACAAAGTAAGTATCTGACGTATTAATTTGCCCCATTAATGAGCAGAGCACACATTTTTAGGAAGTTAAATGGAAATGCTTTGAATGTCATATGCATCATAAAAATGCAATTACAAAAAGCATTTGATGTGAACCAACCAGAGTATTCATAAAACCAATTTAAACATGCATGACCTAGTTCTATCAGCAATGTAAAAGGCTAAGCAATGGCTACCTCCTTACACGTTTTGCATGAGCAGGATCCATGTTCTCCATTGTTTCATTTTCTCCTTCAACTTCATCCTCTTCTGACAGTTCTCTCGATGATCCACTTGTACTTGGCCTCACCTGAGCTCCAGACTTCTTCTGTCCCTTTGGCAAAGAAGGAATTCCAACCGTTGCATTACCATCCTTATCACCAGCTCCTATATATCCAGTAAAACAGGAATAAAATACTTAAAATTGCATTACTCGTAATACTCAATGCACACTGCCATTATGAAACTGTACAGGGAAGCAGAAAGAGCATCTACATATAAGAAACTTCAATGATGATTTTAAACCTTTAGAAGTAGCTTTGGGTCCCAATTGTGGAGTATTGGATTCCTGTGATCCACTGTCGGCTCTAGCAGAAGAGTCTTGGGGGTTTACAAAAGATGCCTGTTTGACATGCAGATAACATACTCAGTCCACAAGTTTAAGAGCAAAAGGGATTCACTGAACACAAAGCAATATGAAAGATAGATTCTATATTTAACATTGTAAGAACAGAACCATAAAGATTAAAAACTAGAATTACGAGCTTGGTTGACTTTGAGTTGGGGAAAGAATGACATCAGAAAACCAAATGTTTTCTAGACAATATGAAACAAATAACCATTTCATGCATGTATCAGCTTTCGATGCATCAAAAAAAAACTTATAAGATACAAGGAGAAGTTAACAGATGTTCAAGAATTGGTTTACAACCTAGTATAATTTCCAGCTAGTTATAGAGTCAAGAGCTTGTAAATGAGGGGTGCGAGAGTTACCTAAATGCCTGCCTCTGATCACTATTTGCTTGTAGTGCTCCAAAATATGATACCATGCATCTATTACATTTGGATTTTCTTAAAAAGCCAATCATCCAATGAGAACAGTGAGATGATTAGAGGCCAGTAATATGATCTAGCAAATTCTATTTTCTAATGTTTATTGTCATTTTCAAGATTATCATGTTTGATGCAATATTATAAATCATTATGCTTGGTATTATATGAAAATCCAAAATAATGTCGCAAAAAGAAAAGCAAAAATTAAATGTTTATTGAGTCAATAATTTATAAAATAGTTAAAATATGATTTTATAGAAAACTATATAAATCAATTTTGATTAAAAAAATTCTAAAAACATTATTAAATAAATTCATTATTGTTTTAATCAATAAACATTTATTCAATTATAACAAAAAAATTGTAAATAAATTATTATAAAAACTGGTTTTTAAAAATTTTTACTAGACAGCTTCTTGGTGCAATGTTACCAAATTTTTCATCAGGGTAAATTAATCAAAATAATATTAAAAATTACTTTCTAATTGTGTTAAAATTTTCTGGTCCTTTGGTTTGAGAATTAGATTATTCCCCTCATGTTATCATTTTAGTGATTTAAGATCATTGTCACGTAAGATTTTTAAATTACTATCAAAGTAATGTAATCACTATACTATAAATTGTAGACTGATCACCCCATCTCAAACACTCTCTTAAAAGATTTTTCATTCTAAAAGTAGTCCTTTCATGCCTAACTTTCTGTTAAACAAGATACAGAAAGTGCTTGCTTTATACAACCTACTGTTTCCTATTTTTAGAAGCATGGTCATTGGTCAGGCACAATCATTTCTAGGCTTTTGGGTTCCTTGCTTCTGTTTTTTGGTCAAACCTCCAAAAAAAATTGCTTGCACAGCCCACGCCTAACTGGTCTCCAGCTCTTTCTATGCCCCAGTCTGTATGAATTTTTACCCCTTTAAAGAAAAAGACACGTTTCTCACAGAATAAACAGCCGAAAATCATTAAAAAAAAATCCAAACCAAATTTGTTCCAAATTCCAACATCAAAGGAGAAAGATTATCCACTATCCAATCAAAAATAAATAAATAAATAAACAAATAAAGATAAATTACTACTTAAAATAAGCTGTTCATGATTTACTGATAGTCTGAGATCAAGAGGCCAACAGGGCAAATCACCAACTCAGCTAAACTAATTGGTAAATCATGTTAACGTTTCCATTACCCGGAAAGCCAAACAACAACTAAAAGAAAACCTTGATTTTCTCATAAACTTAGACCCAAGCTCCACTTGCCCAAGACGCCAAAAAAAAAAAAAAAAAACCAAAGTTTCAGTTTTTAGAACCTATATAGATTACCCAGAAGCAAAAATAAAATGTAGTAAAAAGAATAAGTCAAAATTCAGACATGATCAATTCCCTTTAACCTTTCTCACCAACCAAACATAACGCAGAAAAAAATCCCATATTTTTCAAAAAAAAAAAAAAAGAAAAACCATTTTAGATCCAAATTTTTCCTTCCTTACCCTTTATTCACACCATCTTTTATCATCACCCAAACATACACAAAAAAGAAACGGAAAGACGTACCCTTGACATGGCAACAGCAGCACAAGCCAACTTAAGCTTGTTCTTAAGAAAAGCCTGGTATTCATCTAAATCCACGGAAGCATTATTATTATTGTTGTTCTCTAAACACCCATTAAACAACACCTTCATCCCATTCTTCTTCTTCTTCAGCTCCTCCTTAGCCTGCACCTCCTCCTCTTCTTCTTCTTCTTCTTCTTCTTCTTCTTCTTCTCCTTTATCTTCACCTTTCTTATTAACTTCTTCTCTAAGAAACTGCTGAAAAGCCCACTCTGAATCACTACGGTTCATCTTAGAACCGGGTTTGTTATCGTCATCCACGGTAGTGGTGGCGGAGGAAGAGGACCAGAAGTGGTGGGAGATTTCTTCGACGGAGAAAACCCTATCCATTGTGTTTGGTTGGGTCGTTAGGGGTTTCTTTCGTCGTTTTATTTGTCTGCTGATTCAGATGTGTGTCATTCGGATTGGGATTCAGAATTTTTCTCATTTATTTATTTATTTTTTTAATTGGTAGTATTGGATGTGGGGCCACTGGAATTTTCTATATGGATAAAGTGAGAAACTTTTGGTGTTCTTATTGTAGAGTTATTTTGGTGCAACCATTAATTAGATAAGCTTTTTTTTCTTTCTTTCATTTTATTTTTAGAATAAATAAAAAAGTTTAGAATTCCCATTGGATAGTATGGGACAATTAGTGGGGTCTTTTGTGGACAAATATTGAATTAGGCCCACAATTTGATGGGCCCATGGTATCCACCAAAGCCCGATACGTTTTTTTTTTTAAATAAATTAATTTTTTATATCAAACAAATGAAAAAAATATTTTTTTCATTTTTTAAGGCAAAATATAAAGTTTTGTTTGTTTAAACCGTTTTCATCATTGTTTGTGCCCTTTTCAACACGTCACGTATTGGGTACAAAACAAACATCTTGGGCCTGTAAAGGCATCTTAGTGGGTGTTTTCCGTTGGCAATGACAAAAAAAAAAAAAAAAAGAATAAGAAAAAGATTGAAATGTTGTGAGTAAAGCTTTAATTTGCAAGGTTTCCCTAGCACTTTTGAAGGGATAAAGCCTTTATCTTTTTGCAAGGGCCGGTTGTTTTAAGGGTTAGTTAACGGTTTTTGTTATGATTTACAAAATTTTGGATTAAAAAAAATACGTTTACAAATCTGATTAAAAATTTTAAATATTTAATATTATTGTGAAAATTTTTGAGTAATTGAAACACAAAAAAAATGTAAAAATAATAAAATATTAGTAATATATAGATAATTGGTATTTTTTATCTAAACATATTTTTTCATTGTAAAAGTATTTATTGAAAAAAATTTTAATTTGGGCTTAAAAATTAAAATTGTAAACTGAAAAAAACACAAATTTTTTTATTTAACATTGAGATTAAGTTAAAAATAACTTTGGAATGAAAAAAAAAAAATTTCAACATCAATACTAAAAGAAGCCTAACTCTTGGTTGATCGATATCACATATTTTGTAACAAAAGTCACTAATAACCATTTTTTTGCTCTTTTGTTTAGATCATATTATATTATAATTAAACAAAATATTATTTGTCCATGAGCTTATGGGTTAAGAAATAATTAATCATTTTGGTTGTCCAACTGGAACATATGAGCTTATGCTTATCTCAGCTTACTATTATTATAATTATCAGATTTAGGACATAGTTAACGCGTTCCAAATACAACTATTTCAGCAGAAACGAGATACTTCACAGGGGAGAGAAGAGAATCATGAGCAGGATCATAAGGATGATGTTTGGGAGGGATTTCCAAATTTGCAGGAACTGGCTTTGCTATCAACTAAAAGCCTTATCATGTTTGCAACCTGATAGAGTGGACGAAGACTTAGATTTCTGAAATACTAGCTGCTTTTGAGTAAACTCAAAAACTGAAATACATGATAGAATGATACAGTACCAATAGATAAGACCACTTTCTGCATAACAGGCTACTGTCAAACTTCCCTTCCCAATTACTACTTGACTACAAAGCATCTGACATGAATACATAACATGAGTATGATACAATACGAACACAATAATGCTATAATTTATAAAAATTAAGGATACAGATACGACACGACAAATCTTAAAGAGTTATAATGACGGTTGGTTTATATTTTATGTATCCCATCATCATGGTCACCAGATAATATAATTCACTTTGATACTATTAGACACCAAAATCTATAAGCAATAAATTACATATTGATTGATCAAAATAATTGCAATATCCTTTTTGGTGAACTCTTTCAATGCATCTTCAATTGCATTCAATGTTGTTTCTGACCAGAAACATCAAAGTATTAGCTAAAAGAATCAAGGCAGACAGAAGTCCTATATTGAAACCAACCACGAAAGTTATTGGGCCTCAAATTCATGCTTAAGCCTGAACTTCCTTGGGCCTTTTTTTCAGAGGGAAAAAGCCCAAATTGCTGTTAAATTTAACACTTTTATGTAGTTTCTAAATAATATATCATTTTTGTGACCAAACATGTCATTTTTATTACATAGGTCTATTTTCTAGTTTTTTTTTCTTTGTATAGTTGGAGAATATTAAAAAAGGATTATAAGAATGATTATTATATTATACTTATGTGATATGAGTAAAGTTTTTTAACTTTATAAACGAATTTACATAATTTTCACCTGTTTATTATTAATAAAATAATTTATTATTATTAAATATAATTCAAATGTGTATATCTCAGCCATTAAATCCATTCGTAAAGTTAAAAAATCTTTACCGTCAATGTATTAGGTAAAATCCTTACATGAATTAATAGTATTATTATTCAAATTTTGACATGTAATTGTGTTTTAATGACAAGTTAGGTGATCTAATTTATATATATTATATAATAACATATATAAATAAATTTGTCACATAGACGTCATATGGACAACTCTCTTAAATGACATATAGAATAGTGTTTTAAAAAATAAGATAATTTTTTTAATTACAAATTAGATAATTATTTAAATATTCAAATTATAATTAAAAATCAAATTAATTTAGAGATATATATTCTAAAATTAAAATACAAAATATGAATTTTATTTTTTAATAAATATTTTTAGTTGTCTACTAAATAACCTTATTTAAAAATTTATTTAATTATAAAAATTTTCAAATATGTTTAAAAATTACAAAGATTAAGTTTATTCAAATCTTTCAACAATCTTTTTTTATCTTGATTTAAAAATTTTGATTTAAAAAATTATTTTTTCAAAAAAATTTACATAAAACATAAAAAATTCAAATAATTTTATGTAAGATTTTGAAAATTCAAAAAACCTTCATTTTAAATCTTTAAAGAATAAGATTATTAAATGATTATATCTCTTTGAACTCTAATTATCAAATTATATTTCAAATAAATGCAAAAAATTTAATATTATCTTTATCACTTATTATATCCATTTTAAATTTTAAAAATTATCTATTTAATCTTAATTGCTACTAAATTCTTTTACAAATTTAAGACTACAAATATAATGTGTTATACATCAATTTTTTAAAATTTTTTTAGTAACTTTTTAAAGATATATTCTATTACTATTGCAATTTTTTTTTATAAATTTTTTAAAAAATATATTTTATTGTTATTATAGTTTTATTCTTATGAAAAATAATTTTTTTTCAATTTATTTTTTCTTTTTTCACATATTTTCTAACATTTTTCATATTTTGTATAATAATTTAGTTAAAATTACTAAAGTGAAAGTGTGCTAATATTTCTTTTATTTAAGACTACAAATGTAATATGTCGTACATCATTTTTTTTTATTTTTTCAGTAACTTTTTTAATGTATATTCTACTGCTATTGTAATTTTTTATTTATAAATTTTTTCTAAGATATATTTTATTATTATTATAGTTTCATTCTTATGAAAAATACTTTTTTTTTCAATTTATTTATTCTTTTTCACATATTTTCTAACTTTTTTCATATTTTGTATAATAATTTAGTCAATATTACTAAAGTGAAAGTGTGTTAATACTTTTTTTATTATTTAATTTATCATTTAATAATATATATTTTATTTTTTAAAAAAGACATAATTTATTTTTATTTAATATAATTTTATAGGTGTATAAATATTATTGTAAACAAAAATATCCAAAGAAAATACATAAATTTTTTTTCTATTTTCAAAAAGTTTATTTTTTAATAACAAATCAATATATATAAATTTTATATATGTTATGAGTTTTAAAGATTTGAATATAATTAAAAAAAATTAATTTATATATATATATATATATATTCATATTAAATAAATAAATTTATTTCGTGCATCGTACATGTTATAATCTAGTTAATTATAAAATATTTAGCCATGGGTTAACTTTAGATTAAAATAATGATATTTGCTTAAGTGGAATATATTTTTTTTCATACAATTTTTTTGGGCAAGAGTAATTGACTTTATAAAAGATAAAGTGTAGAATTATTAAGTTATTTTCTCAATCATTATGTTTGAAAATTTTATGCCATATAGTGACTAGTAAACTATAAAGTTGAAGCTAAAACTCACATTTTTACTAGTAATCATGTGAAAAAGGAGAAAGTATTTATGCCAAAAAGAAAAGGAAAAAGAAAAAGCATTTAGGAGATGTGAGAGAGTGAAATGTGTGGTTAATGGCAAATCACGGACATATCATGTTGAATAATTGAATAATTATTCATTAAAATCAATAATTGATTAGTTCAATCGATTAATGTTATTTTTTTTCGATGAAAAAGTTTTAGGTTCAACTATTATCGATAACCATTTATTGAGATTATTTCGAATCCACGATCTGCAATCACTTATCTTAAAATTGTTAAGTATGATATATCTTATTTTGACTTGAGGAACTGAACAACTTATTTATTTACCCTAAATTTAAAAAAACAAAAAAATTATTCATTAAAAGTTATTGGGTCTATTCTTTAAACCAAACATGTGTCCAATCTAGTTATCTAAATTTGGTTGTAGGAAACAAAGCGTTCATGTTCCTCGTTGACATCATTGGCTTATATAAGAAAGGAAAAACAAAACCATATAAAATTTTCTTATTATAATGCACTTTAAAATTATTATTAATTTTATGACTCTCCTCTCATTTGATTACATTTTGAAGATAGAAATAGAAATTGCATATTTACATATGTTTAGATTATGGCTTCCCCACTTTTTTAAGATTAAAATGAAAGTTACGAGAAAATTTTAATTTTTTATATCTAAAATAATTAAGAATTAAAATTTGATAATTGAATTAAAAAATTTAATATTTTATTATCAGACGATTTAGCTATTGACAAAAATTAAATTATCTAACTTTTTTTTAATACTATCTAGTATCACTTATGTTACATCCAAGTAATTGCATTTTCACTATAAGAAAGGCCTTTTTCTGGAATGACAAGTTTTAGTCTTCACCAATA